ACCGTTTCGTTCTACATGGGCTTATGTCAACAAAAGTCAACCCTAGCCCCTAGGGGCACCCTACCTTCAAGGTAGGGTAACCCTACCCCCTAGGGGCACTCTATCTCGCATGTAGAACGAACCGCATAAAACAAAAGAGAAGGGAAACCCTACTACATAGGGTGCCCCTATCCCCCCGAGGCACCCTCCTCCATGTAAACGGCCCCTAAAACAATCATTCACCTCAGTGTCGGTGAAAGTGATGGATATTTACCTCCACTTCGGTGAATAATTGTTAATTATTGATTACCAGGGCTTTACAAGCAAATAATCACAAACCGTCAGTTTTCTCACAATTTTTAAAACTTACAAACTCTCCTAGAAATGTTCAACTAGCCTTGGATTCTATACAGGAAACGTTGAAATTAGAGTTAGATTTCGGAATGTCAGTGGACAGTGAAACTGTTTGGAATATATATTTTTGGCTTTACGAGACGCCTTCGAAAACGTCACTTAGGACTTATAGACTGTACTTAGAGAATTCGCACGAGGCCAATTAATCATTGTCGGGTAAAGTCAGAGTTTAAAGAATGCCATAGTAATTAATTCTTAAACAATTTTAAACAGGTTACGAATTTAACAGAAAAACAGAAAAACTTTCGACGGTGGTTAAGGATGGATAACTAACAGTTAGTCTTTCTACCATAGAACAGTTTCCAATTGAGTGTCGCAAAACTAAAACCAAAGTAATAATTCTAGCCAATCACAAAAGACACAGGTAATACAGTGAACCAATCAAACTCGAAGTAATTACATGTAGCTGACACAAAGCGCTGGAAAACGCGTGCGATCGAGTCACGATTGGTTTTGGTTTTACTTCTGATTGAATGAAAAAGTGGCGCGAGGTTTTATAAGCCAGTCGTGTAAGTGCAAAACCAATTACTTTTCGACACTCAAATAAAAATCACAATATTATGATATTTTAAATTCACAGATACCACGGCAGATCATGTTTGTCGGGAAGAACTGAAAAAAAATCACTCAGATTCACACATTTATGCGATATGTATGATCGCGAAAAAAGAATACTACCCCCTTGAAATGCCAAAGTTTTGTTGACCAAATTATTCTGTTGGAGATCCACCGCAACTTAAATTGTCGTTATCACTGATGTCACTACCACTGTTGCTGTTTTTTCGTTCGGGGCTCTGAATTGATTTAGCTGGGCTGTAACTCGGTGCGTTTCTCGAATCAACACCGTTTCCTTCGCACTCTGCAACCTGGTTGTTTTCAAAAGATTGTTGCAGTTTTTCGACCTCTATTTTTTTCCTGTCCTTTGCGCGTCTGTTTTGAAACCAGACTTGTATCCGATCTTCAGTGAGCTTGGTTGGTCCTTCCAGCTTTAACCTTTCTTCGATGTGAGGGTACTTGTCTCTCGCATAAACGGCTTCAAGAATTTCCAATTGCTCTTTCGTAAGATTTTTTCGTTTCCTCTTCGATTCTTGTTTCTCGTTGACCGCTGCTTCTGGCGAGCTTGTCGATGCATTGGACGATCGCATTTTCTTTGCGGCTGCAATTAATTAGTGAAGACATGATTTAAGCAAAACAAACGAAAAAATGGCTTCCTGCGCTGATGTTAGCGCGGTAGCCTCAATCAGAATAGGCCATTTCCGACTTGCCTTTTGCTTCTGTTTCAAAACGAGTCTGCGTGGGAAACCATTCATATGAAAATATGTTCCGCCTTGACCAGTTAACATTAAAACGAAAGCGAAGAGTTTAAATTGATTTTCTCTAGTAGTCAATGTCCCAGAAATGCCCAGAGAATTCCCTTCCGCGAGAAGAAACCGACTCAGTCAATTCTTTTTGTGCAGGCCACACTTTTCGCCGCGGACCACGTGACCCAAAACGAGATGACCGCGACAAAATATTGAGTTCTAGGAGCTAGNGTGCGCGCGGATCCCAAGACTTACGGTCTCCGTCCCCGATTATGGCTCCTGGAGCTAGACAATGTTCCGCCTACAGATTCTTTTTCATGCAGACCAAATTCATTTTCATTTGAAAGGTTTTACACGAGGACTCGTTCTGAAACAGAGGCACAAGGTAACTCGGAAATCATGAGCCATTAGAGCATGCTACTCACCTGGTTGAACTATCTCACTCTCTACCACCCCCTCAGTGGATGCCACACACCCTTCACTTTGCTCCCTGGGTGGTCCCACAAAACATGGCGGAGGGGTCAACAAACCATAATACGCAACCGGCTGTGGAAGAGAGCAGGTTTGCGCATGCGCTAATGGGAAGTGATAAGCCGCTGGCATGGGAGAAATATCGTACAGCGGTGAAAATGGAATACGATGATGACCTGAAAAGTATTGGAGCTGACCAGATCCAGGATTAAGTGAAGTGAAATCCAGATATGAGAGCTGATAACGAGCTTGTTGAGCTTCTAATGGAAAATATCGCATTCCACTCTTCATGGCGACCAAAATACTCGCGGCTTCCAAAACATCTGGGGTGAGGCTGTTAGGCTTAGCTATCTCTTGATGGTCCACCATTATTAAACTTCTGTCTGTAACAGAGTAAGTGATCCGAGGTGAGAAATTGGAAAAGCTAACCCCCCCCCCACCCCCATAAAACAACAACAAGCAAACGACAACAACATCAACAACGACAAAACAGAAACAAACACTACGTCGGTCGAAACAAAAGAAACTCAAAGACGAGAATGTTTCAAAATCTTGCGCTTGTTCTCCACACCCTCGATACTCTCGCGCGCTCTGACAAAAGTTGTCGCATGTTTGACAGAAAAAAATCGCAGATTTTTATACCGTGTCGTAAGCTTTGTCCTCTGTTAACTCCCACCTCTAATGGCCCCATCCCCTCCTAGCTTAAAAGTAGAATTTTGTAATAAACCCGCTCCGCCCCTTTGGGAAACCAAATATTGCAGTTAAACTGTACTACAGTCAATGAAGACACGAAGGTCATCCACAATTTGTGATTTTTGTAACAGCTTCAGATGAAAACAGACAAACAAAGAGACAAACAAACTATCTTCATTCTCGTTTGGGTCTTAGGATGAATATAATGTTTGCCAGTACCATAAGTCAATGTTTTGAGATTTCAAATAACCTCTTCGCCCCTCTCTAATAATTCCGTACGCCCGTTTATGAGGCGTAACTAAACCTTACGGTAGGTGCTTTCTATTTCTATGAATGCTTAGCAGATTTCTCCAGCTTAAATCTCTATTTCTTGCCATTTATAAAACTCGGAAAAATCTAGATGTATCTTCTTACGTTCTAACAACCGACAAACAAGTTCAATCTCAAGGGAACGCACTAACTGACTTTTTTCGGCAAATTAAATGGGCAACTTCAGGAAATTATAAAAACATAAATTCCAAGAACAGAAAAGACTTACAGTTATTGCGAAACATTGGTTAAAGTCATGAATTCTCTGTTTATTAAATCGAACAATAAAGTAAGCCTTCGACTTCAACCATGTTTATTCGCTGAGCGCGATTGAAAACTCGAATTCCACTCCTGAAATATTTAAGGTAGTTGCCGACATATCATAGAGTAGACTGCATGTTTTATTTTTCACAACTTTATACCGATTTGCTGGTCACTAGTTTATAGTCATCAATTTCTCAGTTTGGAAGGCAGAAATTGTTGTTCGCCCATCCTATAAAGCTTTTAGTCCGCCTGGCCGGGTTTCGTGACTGCCGCCTCATTTATTGAGGTCCTTGCAGTCGTGCAGTACACTGAAATTACAAGCCAAGAATAAATTTATAATCCTCATTCCCAGGCTCAATCATGAAATGAATGTCTAAATAGCTTCATTAAACAATGCTAAGGTTTGAGGAAGTTTTTGTGAAATTCTCGCTAGAATATTTATTAAGGTTTTAATTTAGTATCGATACAAAAATTAATCGCAGCTTCGACTAAATAAACAAGCAATAATTTTTGGCCATTAGACTAAAATTGCATCAACGATTATAGTTAGCGAGTTACCGAATTTTTAGCTTCTTGGACCAGTCCAGTATGTACGTAGTTTTGAAAGCTGTCCAAATTTTCGCACGGTTGTTTATTAATCTAAATTGTGTTTTTACCCTGAACCTGAAAGGCCGAGCACGAAATTTGAACTTAATAACTGTGGACTTCTCAAGTAAGTTATCGCATAAGTATAAATGGAGAAAAAGAGAATTCTTACTCGAATTTTAGATGTGCACAGTTTAAAACTGCTTTGAACAGTTGAACGACATACAAAACGCCACTGATTGCGATGCATGAGGTCGAGCCGGGAAGCCTCAACTGACGTTGTGCAACGTTCTAATTGCTCTCTTAGCTTTTATTTTGGAATGGCGAATCATTCACCAACCGATTCGTGATTTCTCTAACGTTTGTTGTAAACAGCAAATATGCTGATTAATTCCTCTTCGTTTAGTGAATAAGTTTTGATAAAAAGGGAACTCTCATTTAAGACTTGTATTCTCGATCAAGACGAAGTAAAGTTTTCAATTTAACTCAACTTTTGCGGCTTCAGTGAAGTCGTGGCAAAACTCGAGAATTCAAATCGCGTTGAGATTTTCAAACAATTTTTAAGAAACAAAACGTAACCGGGTTAAGTTCTGGCCTGTTCTCTAATTCTTTCCAGAGGAAAGTTTTAATTCTCACTTGTCTATTTATAGTGTTGGCAGTACTTTTAACATTTGCGATTTTCTGTTCTTTTGTAGAAGGAAAGCGTATATACGCTAAATTTTCCATCTAAACGAAAATTTCAAATTGTTAAACAACCTAAATATTCATTGGACATTTTCTTAAATTCATTTCGTCTGTAGTTGATTCCAAATTATACTAGAGGATTTATAAAATTTAAGGGCAACGATCTATATAGCTAGTAACTGGCACTCAAGGTTTGAACAATTTCTTCGGGGCGCCAGGGTTTACACAACTTGTTCAAGAAATCATGACTCTGTGATGTCCAAGTGAATTTAAATCAAATATTGAAGTAAAACCCACCTTAAATGGAAGATTCTTGCACGTTAGGGCTGATTTAATCCTTGGCCGGCAGATCTCCGCTTTTTCTGAACGATCGTTGCAAAAAGCCGCGGTATAAAGTCACACAAACAGCAGTAAAAACACCATCACAGTTAGCAACGAAGCTTACGTCATGCTCAACCGCCTTCTGTGATTGGCTACTTGCCCATTAATTGTAGACTTTTGCGCACTGAAAGGGTTTTCTTTCACTATAAGGACTTTCTTTCGTTTCAAGCGCAATTTGAAAATTACTGTTATAAGTCAAATTCAAATGTCGGTGATATGAAGTACAAATCAGAAAATAAAGCGAGTCTCTCCGTAAATGTGATTAACCTCAGGTCAAAGTGAACATGCTTTTAGAAATTTCTGACGAAAGAAGAAGAAGAAGAAGAAGAAGAACAACAACAACAACAACAGCAACGACAAAATGTTATCGATCGAACGCAATAGATTGCCGTATGTGTGTTGGTGGATATGTTAGAAAGCATGTTCTTTCGTGCTTCGATTGGATGAAAATTTCACAACTCAAATCTGTTGATCTGCGAGCCAGAAAGCAGCAGTATCGCTTTGTATTAGCTTGTATTAGTCCGAAAGTTATCTCTAAGCGAAAGCCATTTGTCAGAGATTCTAATGCAAATACAAGCCCAGCATTTTGATTAACTTGTCAGAGATCTTTTTTTTTTCCTTTTCATTCAAAACTAGAGTTACTCGGGAATTACTTCGCTGTAAGCGGGCCATTAGTCGACTGTTAGTGGTTTTGGAGGTTCGGGTGTCATAGGTTGGGGATTTCCGTAGAATATTCGAAATGGCAAAGATTTAGTTACCAAAAAAATGTCATAGCATGGTAATGTTTTAAATACAGTTAAGAAGAACTTATCGAGACTTGAGCTCTCAAGCTGACCCCGCGAACGAAAATTGAACTGGAAGTTATCCATACTTCAATTAAAACATGTACTGACGTTTCGCGGTAGTTAAAAATACAATAACACACGCTTTAGGCATTGTTACGAGGTTTGACATTAACTTTCTCGAGAGTGCTCGAGAATTTAAATGAACTAAAGTGCGTTTTTTCTAATAGTATTGCAAAAATTACCGTGCTATGCGAGTGGATTTTTAGTACATAATTTTTGCACTTATTGTTCGAACTTTGAGCGGAATCCGTCTTAATATTCCCGAACGGCAAGTCTATTCCAATCCTAGGCTAAGTTTAAATCCAATTTATCATTCCATATTGACTGGCGCTTGTCCCTTATTTTTTTCCCCTCGAGAGGAAAGGTCGTTTTTCAGAACTTCTCATTTGTTCCAATTTAACACTAAAGAAAAGAAACGAGGGCACACTAGCCAATAGAGATCATCATTCGATGCAATTTCTTCTCCCTTTGCATTGGCGGAGAGCCGATCACGTGACCTTTAAATTTTGCTGCAAATAATATTCTCCTCATGTGTAATTGTGACCACGCTCTTGTGTGAAAAATATAAAATAGCAGAACTCGGTTATCGCAAAATATTGTGATTTGTCAGTGTCTTGCAGATCAGTTGGCAAAATTAATTTGGAAAATTACGATATTTCGTTAAACCTCTTCCAAAACTTGTTAATTATGTACCGATGATGTCGGTTGGATCAAAGACATCTTTAGAAGCCAAAGACTTATTGCGCATGAGCGAGATAGTTGGGAAACCTACTTTATACCAAATATGGAAATTATTCGCTTCTCTACGTCAATGGAAACACCCTTTGTAATTTGCGGCTCTCTAATAACGCGTAGAATATCCGGCATTTCTTGTTATGATCATTTGCTGACAGAAGGTCCTTGACATGAATTCAAAAATATTTGAATTATCTGCTCCATGGCACGACGCCTTAGCAGTCTTGTTGGCGATCTTTGTAGCATTTGCGTTAGTGGAGCAAATTCTCACCCTGAAAATCCTCTCACGAAGAGAAAATCGTCGAAAACGGCTGACACCGTATCTTATTAACCTGGCAGTCACCAACTTGATATTTGTCTGTTCCAACTACACGCTCTCAATGGCCTCGCACTTATCACGCAGATTTGTGTCTAGCAAACCCGTGTGTATTTTATTTGGTTATATCGCCAGCGCTTCTGTGCTTGTGACTTTTGCTTCACTCACGGCTTGTACATGCTTGGTATATAACGCTACGAAGGAACTGACGAAACATCTCACCATAAAGAGGAACAAAGACATCAAAATTATTCTGCTAATCTGGTTCCTGGCCTTCGCCATATTATCACCGATGATCGAGTTTTGGAATCAAGACAGGTTCCAGCCGGGTACAAGCGGTTGTACACCCATGCGCTTGCTGCAAACCCCAGAAGACATTGCCTACTTCGTCGCCCTAACCGTGGTGGCGTTTTCTGCGCCCATGACAATCAGCGCAGTTTACAGCGTCAAAATCTATTTGTTTTTTGTTCAGGTCAAGCCGTTTCAAATGAGCCTCGTTCAGCAACGCAAATACCAAGAGTACAAGAATGTTTCCAAGATGATTATTGCTTTAGTTGTGGTATTCGTGTCCTGTTGGATTCCCTACACCATTTTCAGCTTAGTGACGCTAATTGGTCACCTTCCGAGTCCGGAATTACAAGCACTGCTTTCCTTGCTCACCAAATCAAGTGTCCTGCACACCCCTATAATCTACGCCACCTTTAATAGCAAGTAAGTAACTACATATATGCCAATTGTTCCTTGGATAAGTTAATAAATCTTCCTTCGCCGGAGTTTGCAATAATAAGCAAGTTTTGTATTTCTGTGCGACGATCGGAGAGAAATTTTAGGTCCTCGAGGTCAGAGGGTTAAAGGCAGTCAAGACAAAGGCGCGCAACCACAAAATGACAAAAGTTTATTGTAACTTAAGCTTCATGAGAAAATCGCACATTTTCCTGGGTGGCTTGTGGTACCAGCTCAACAATTCAATTACCAGTCGATGCACTGTTTTCTTCCATTTTATTGGCTGAGAGCCCACCACGACCTGCAAATAATTGCCAACATGTAATGATCTGCTCATGCGCAATGCCATCTATGTTTTGCGGCAAATAATATCATTTCTACTCATGCGTGATTGTAACCAGGCTCTTGTGTGAGAAAATGGTAGATCGCTTGAATGTGCTGTCAGATATCGTAATTTAAATATGAAGAAAAACTTGGTGATCGAATGAGAAAACAATTTTTGAACCCGATTATTGCAAAATATCGTGATTCGTTAGTCTCGCAGATTAATTATTTGCCTCAGCCTTCGGCCCTACGGTAAATAATTGATCTGCTCTCCACTGACAATAGACCCCCGGGGGGGACTCCCATATAAAAAGGACGGGGTTGGTCGTCGTACCTTTTAGGGGCTGAAAACGTAGTAATGGTACCTCTGAGGGTGTTCAGCCTCAAAAAGTCCACAGCAGGAGCTTTTGTGGAACCTTCTCGGGCATTGAGTTGAAAAAATATGACAGGAGATAATGTGCTGTTTTAGAAATGGTACCTTTTAGGGGTGAAACAGTTTCAAGCCAAACCCACAAAGCAGGATCTTGGTACTTCTTTTAAACGAGTTTTTTTAAAAATTTCCCACGAGCAGCCCCCATCCTGTTTATGTGGGAGTTTCCCGGGGAATGGACATTTTAGACGATTCGACAGCCATTTTGAATTCTAGTGTTTCAAATAGCTGTTATGGGATGCTCGGGGGCAAATTAGTATTACTGGTATAACAGCGGGCTCTCTCATTGGCTACCGCGCGGTTTCAGTCAGCGAGTACTAGTGTTACACGTGAGTGTTGACTGACGATTCCCTTTGGCGTATATTTTACAAAGTCTTTGTTGTGTTACATTAAGTTATGACGGATCCCTCGGGAAAGTATCTCGGATAACTGTGTTTTCCTCGAATCTTAACGAAGTTCTCGTTACTCAAGTTTCCCTTGGAACTAGACATTAGTGTTGAATATATCATTCATCGTCCTAGTCTTTCATGGGCTAAATTCTATGTTGATGACATCGACTAAATAAAAATGTTTCTTTTCATCAGGTTTAGAGTTGCCATTGTAAGTCTGTTTCGTTGTGACAGCTGTCAGAAGGCGCAAATCGGCGTCTCGCATCCAAACCAAACGGAAGCGCATCGGGTTTGTCTTCCTGAACCGATGGCTCCCAGATCCCCTCTCGTAGGCATTGCCAGGAATACACATGGTGTGATCATACACAAAGAGCTTGCTGTATCCTATGATAGCTTGTTTAATGTGCCGCGTTAGAGGGAAAAGCTAATTGCCGTTTCGTCGGGTCTAAAGATTTACTCGCTTGAAGAACAGGCCTGATGGGAGTAAACACAAATTAAAAACTATCTTCTGAAAATAACTCGGCAACTTATTGGCAATCAGATGTTCATATTTCGACCAATCCTTTTCCTTCGAGCAACCTATATATTCTTTTTTTCATTCTAAGCAATTTCCACCCATTCTGAGAATTAAATCGGAAGAACTTTAAGTGTTTACCCCTGAGTGTTTTCCGTGGTCTGGAGATTTCCGAAGATTCTCCGAATGCTTTCCGAGGGTCATACCTGTGATTTTTAGAAAGATTTCCGAAGTTTTCCTGAAGATATCGACAACCGTTGGCTCATTAATTAGGAAAAATTATTACAAATTCATCAGCATGTGAAAGATAACCGGGTGTCTTTTGCAGTGTAGAGATTCCGTAAGTCTTTTTTCCTCCGGGAGGGAAATAAAACTTTGTAAATTACTCTAGTTTATATAATAAACTTTAGCTTCAATGAGTAGAGTTATTTAGCGACTCTCAGCGCAATAGAATTGCTTCAGATATTGCCAAGAGTCTAGTCGCTTTATATTGCATAGGAAACTTAGTTTCATCGAGTTATTATCTTATTTCAAACATGAGAGAAAAGAACAACTTTCAATCTCCGAGAAATAATTACAATATTTACAATAGCTAAGACATATTAAAAATAGTTTTTAAGGCATGAACACACCAATGTAAATTGCTCTTTCAATTTAAAAAAAAAGTTACAGGTAGGTAAAGAAAATTTCTCAAGATTTCAATGGTTAGCAAAGAAACTATTTAGGGCCTGTTTACAATAGATGCCTGTGTTCGTCTCCACGAAATACCGACATTTGGTCACGTGGCACAGCTGTGGCAGCTGAGTACTCGATGCAATGGTACAAGAAGAGACTGCATGAATGGAAGTATTCATTTCAATTCCTGCACAATATTTGACGAAATGCTTGTCTCTGCCATCTTGCTGGTGTTTTTATTGGCACCACCGTCCTTTGAAGGTAAGAATAATTAGAGAAAGGAGTATAATTCTGTGTATCTTATTGATATCTGTTTTGAGAGTCACTTGAAACCGGCAAAACTTCGACTCACAGATTTCAACGAAATCGTTCCTAGAAAATTTGTAAATGTTAATCACAAAGTAGCTAATTCAGCTGATTCATAAAAGTGGTAAAGACTGCTCGGCTCTCATTGCAAAATTAGATCTTTTACTCTCCGAGAGTAACTGAACATTATAATTTGAAAATATAAAGGCAAAGGTTTTTCATTAAAACTTAATTTTCCAACTTTCTTTCGTTTCTTCCTTCTCAAAGGAAAATTTAACATAAATGATAATGGAAACTGATACAAGTATCAGTTCTGCGATGTTGCTCAAGAACGCTAAAGAAAAGAATTCAGTGTCAAAACACGAAATTTGGCTGAGGCCCCGTTCACACTACGTACGCCGGAAAAATTTGACAACGCAGCTTTATTTCTTCCATCAGGAAAACGGAGCTTTTAGAAAACGTTATTCAAACCCAAACCGGAGAAATTTGAAAACGTCGGCTTTGCGTTTTAGTGTGGACGAAAAACATTTTGAAAGCGGAGCCTTTCGGAAACGCTGACCTCACGATAATAATGTGATTTTCCTGTCAGAGGTTTCCTCAAACACAAATCCAACATGACCGGTGACTGTTGCGTTTTTAAATGTTTCCCAAGTAATGTGGACGAAAAACATTTGATGCGTTTTCATATTTCTCCGGGGTAGTGTGGAGGGGGCCTTAACTTGCAGGTCAAAATGTGGTTGCTATAGAAACGTTAAACTGACGAGATGAAGGGTACGATTAACCTATCAAATTCAGGGATGAATGAACAGCATGCAGAACGAAATTTTCACTATATATCACAAAGTAAATCCTCTGTTCAAAATTCTGAAAAAAATCCATGTTCATGTGTGTGGCATATACCTGCTCTATTTAAGGCTGCTGGCGTTGATTAGTAAGCCCGAGGTTTAAATTACGTATTTACTTATGCGTTGATGTTTACCCTTTTACTCGTCATTTAGCTTAGTAACTCGTTCGTTAACCCCTATATTTCAGCCTGTGGAATACGTCCCTATGGGACCCGTATCCGTGGAGGCAAAGAAGCGGTCCCTCATTCTTGGCCTTGGCAGGCGTCTCTTCGCTTCAATGGGGACCATATATATGGTGCATCGCTCATTACTCCCGAATGACTGGTTACTGCCTCGCACTGTGTGAGCCAAAACCCTGATCCTAAGCAATACAAAATCATTTTAGGTAAGGGATTTACATCTCTGTTACTTATTTATACAGCTTGTTGAAGCCACCAGATGAAATAAAACGCATAGACTATATATACATATACACTCATCCGACTTTGTCAACGGTCACATTTCGTCGTTATCAGCAATATTTCTACCAACATGCATGTAAATGATTGCCTCTTATTGAACTTGAAACATTTAAGACATTATATGCGTACGTACATTTCAAGATTGATTGATTCTAACAGTTGGAAGTTGCGAAAGAAGCAGATTCTGAACGCGGAGAATCTCTCCTTTTATAAATACAACCACGGAGGTGAATTGACTTGTTATTTACGTATTCACTTAAAAAAAAAAGCACCGCGGGGCTCATTACATTTTTCGACGTTTTGACGGGGCGCTTATTAAAAGAAGCGCTTATTGATATCTTTTGTGTGTGTAGAGGCCCAGTGGCCTCACGATTAGTGCGCTCGTCTCCGGATCGACAGTGCCTCTCTCCACCCAGGCGTATAGATGGTTACCGGCTGGGAGTGACCCTACGATGGACTAGCATCCCATCCAGGGGGAAATAGTAATACTCCTAGTCGTTTCATGCTAAGGAAACCGGGATAAGCTCCGGCTTGGTAGGCCACTTGGCTCGTATGCAGGCTTTTAAACTCTTTTTTTTTTTTACCTTATTAATATCTTTTGCCTTCACGTGTGACGCTTATTCGAGGGCGGTACTTTTTCGAGTAATACGGAGTATAGATTCACACCCAATTTTCTTGTTTGGAATTTGACAACTACTAATCCGCCCGGTCACGCCCTGACCATTTATAATTTTTGTTTAGGTACCCGGTGAATTAATTAAGTAGAAATTTCTATTCCAAGCTATGGTCTGTGAAGGCCCATTCTGGTGTCTAGTCCCTTGTTAATTCGCTGGTGCTTTTTAGAGATACAAAACAATTATTCTAACAACGTGTAAAATTAATTCATGCACAGTTAAAATTTAAATACGCAGTCCTTTGACCATAACAGGTCTCCATATAAAGGAGTGTTACAAGCTCCAAGCTCCCTCTTACGAAATTTTCTCAACAAACTGATAGCCGGCCTGGGACAATTTCCACACAATACTTGATGGTTTTTCATTCTCTAACCACAGGAGCTCATGAACAGAAAAACGATGGAGAAGAATATGACGTTTCCAAAGCGGTCACGCACCTGAGCTTCAATCAATAGTTTAACCTTAAGCATGACGTGACAGTGTTGAAATTGTCACGAACTGCCAAACTTGGGCGGAAAGTAAACACAATCTACTTGCCACCTCATGGGTCACGCGTTAAGCTAGGAACAAAGTGTTTTGTGACAGGTGATGAAAGTAAAATTATTATATGGCTAGCTCCTTGAGGGGGCAAGATGAACCAAATCCTGTAATGTGATTGGCTATCTTGCCTGCTCGGGACTGCCCGCCATGTCCCGCAAGAAAAACTTCCCCGAAAGCCATATGATAAGTCCTTTATTAATCAAGCTTGTGCGGTCAAGATGGCTGGATACTGGCTTTGTTCTTTCTTTGCGTGTTTATGGACCTCGACTCCTTCTCGGTCCATTAACACTAAAAAAAAAGGACTTGGCCAATATCCAGCCATCTTGACCGCACAAGCTTGGTCAATAACCCAAATATCTCACACTGAGAAGCATTTCGAAATAAAAAACCTTTGCTACGCTTTTCATAAAGGGAATAATATGTAAAGCATGGCTCTTAGTTTGTAATCAACTGGTTGTTAAATAGGGTAGATTAACTTACATTTTGATGATAGATAAGTGACGCTTCGAAGATTAACAGTTCGTAAGAGTAAATTTCCTTTAATTTTCCAAAGTAATCCTTTTGGTACTCAGTCTCCTCGAAGATCTATTAATAACGAGGGCTAAAGGAAGAATTTGAAACTTTGTTCACATTCAAGAAAACCATGGTAACGAGAGGCTGATGGGCTTAACAACCTGGGCGTGGGGTAGCGGTGGATGAGTGAATTGGGTAGAGAGGTCTTTAAGAACATCAACAGATTTTTAAAATCAATGCAAGCAAAAGTGACTGGCAAAATTGAGAGGGATTACAAATGTGAAAGTTGTAAGATATTGAAGAATTGTTCAAAAATCTTCAGAAATGTCTCACCCAATTTCAGATCTAAAAATGTTTCTAACAAAACTTCACCAAATTATAATGCGCCGCTTTCACTTTACTACATAGGTTGGGGTACAACCTGACTCATCATCGGCGTAACTGCGTCGCACCTGAAACAGGCATAAGCTCCGCTGGCAACCTATAAAGACTGCAGGCGCAAGAATGGCGATACCGTGGACGACGATGCAATGGTTTGTGTGGGAGGCCAGGGAAGCAGTGTTTGTAATGGAGACAGTGGAGGTCCCTTAGATAATGGGCGCTGGGTCCTCCGTGGGGCGGCCTCATGGGTAACTCGTTATATATGTCCAAAGCATAGGTACAGTGTCTATGCACGAGTCAGCTCATATGTCAACTGGCATGGATCAGTGAGCAAATTCAGGGAACATGAAAAGATTGATAGAAACAGTGAGATAAGAGAAATGCAATCGATCATATTGAGAAGTACCCTGACGCGTGACCATGATAGTCAGTGTGCGTGCGCGAGCGCGAGTGATTTTTTTTACGCGTGCTGTACGTGTTCGTGTTCTTCATCCTCTCTCCGTGTATTACAAACCATATATCTGATCAATTTACATTTGTAGCTATATGTCATTCATTCCGATCATTTTCTTAATTCTTAAACTCATTACTGACAGGCAACCAATTAAGCCTCCCTTGAATTTTCTTTGGTACAAAAAGGGCGTAGAAAATCACACATTTTAACCACGGCTGAAATGTCTAAGACTGCTGGATATATAACAAATAACGTTCTGTGAACTGAGCTGTAAGTTTCCCTTATTCTTGTATCTGTTTCTTTTTCAGGATCTATTCCAAGTTTGCTATCCAACAAAAGAAATTACATTGACAGAAATTAAATATCTCGACATGGGCTCTAAACCAAATTATAATTTAATTAAAGGTTTTCCAAAACAGTTAAAGACTTACGGTGTGCTTGCTTTGTAACTGGCCAGAAATTCTATTCAGGGTTGTTTAAAAGATAAAAACCAACCTATTTGGCATTGATATGTTGAGAATTATTTCTTGAAGCAATCAATGCCGGATACAGCCTTCAATTGCAATGCAGTTGTATTTTGGCAAACGAGCGCATTTTTATCAAGCGAGCGCAAGACAGGAAAAGGCGTCCCAGGGAGTGGTAGTGAGGCTGCCAAGATGGCGGCGAACTCTTTCATGAACTAATACCGGTAACTCGCGAGCACACCGTGCCCACGGAAAACACCAGCAATATAGGCTATGCCGGATACAGCCTGCTAGCAGAAAACCTATAATTGGCCTTTCTGCCCCAAGGAATTAGGAAGTGTTTGCAAGTAGGCCTATTAGAGTGGATAGAAATGCAGATTTTGTTGTACATGTGGGATGGGCGAGTTGGCTCAGACGGCCAGAGCTTCTGTCTGTTTATTTCTAATCTGCATTTGTAATCTGCAAAGGGATTAACTCATCACCGCAGATATGAAAGAAAAAAACAGGAAATAAATGAAACTAAATCACTATTGTTGCGCCAGAGGAACACGTGGAAAATTTGTAGCACGAGGCAAGGATATTGCTAGTTCATCAGACTAATGCTAGTTCATCAAAAGTCGTTAACCAAAACTTCGCTCGGCAGGTCGCTGTATCAGCTCACCAGTACCTGTGATAAGTATGGTACGTACGTTGATCATGGTAAAATGATGAAATCATTTTCGCAATATTATGTTGAATCATCATAGCGCATGCGTACCGTAAAATGTCTGTGTTTAAGTGTGTCCTTTTTAAAAGAAGCCCCCCCCCCCCTTCAAATGGCCAATCGCTTGTGGACAGATGTAAGAATTCTCTCTTACTCTAGTTAGCTATTTCTCCTTGTCCAAAGTAATCTGCATATAGCTTGCTTAGTGCCTTTCATTCACAGTTCTCTATATCTCTTTCTAGTTTTGATAGTTTCTAGTTTTGCATGTGGTGTTTGACGTATATGATGTGTCAAGCTCGTTAAAAATGACATCGAACCCTTATTAGGCAGCCAGTAATCAAAGTCTTGATGAGGGCTTTCTATTGTTTTTACCTCCATTAAGGGGCTAAGCCCTTTTAAGCGGCCAATATCCATTCCCCCGAGATTGACCATTTAATAGGATTTTGAATTGCTGTAGTTGTTTTTGGCAATACCAATGTTGCGCAGTGAACATTTCAATCATTTCGTAAAAACTACTCAGAAGATTGAAAGCAAACAAAGAGATTGTTTTTCAGCAACTTTTATTTCTCCCCAAGAGTTTTCTCTCGTTTTCTCTTGTAAAGACACTGTTTACGAGATGTCGCTTGCTTCTATGATTCTGAAATAAAGAACCCAATATATAAATGAATCATTTTGATGATTTCAACAAGAACAGCACAATTGGCAAGTAAACCAATCTCCTAATCACACTGAACGAAGGACCAAAATCACATTAATATTATCATTGAAAATGTTAAAGATTTGTAACAGTATATTGAGGTGCTTTCAAAATGTGTAATTAGTTGTCATTTATACACGAAAGAGATTGGCTTGTCTTGTCCAGACGAGATAAGCTAGAATCGATAACAGATTGTTGACTGAATCCAGTTAGACAGTTGTAAAAGTAGATTAACAATAAGCCATTTGCGAGTTGCTCTTACCTCTATTTCAAAACGATTCTTCGTGCACGATCAGTCCATATTGAAATGAGCTTTTTTTGCACTCATTTCCATGTGAAAGGTTGTGCACTAGGACTCGTTTTGAAACAGAGGAAAACTAAAAGCAACTCGGAAAAGACTTCTTGTGGTTAAAAATAAGTTTCAAATGGTTCCTACATGTCAAATCTGCCCGATCGCGAAGACAATGTATTTTGGGTTCGTACGCAAGGAAGAGGTCGTTGGTATGTTTCTTGAATTCATCTTGACAGAAATATGTAAGTAAAAGTACTAATAATATAAAAGCCAGTACACTTGACATTTTAACTTACAGCACTTTCGACAAGTCTTCTTACAGTTTTGGTACACTGTGGAATAATTGCACCATCGTCGGTTTCGCATGCAATTTGCCGCTGACCAGCTGTCTCGACAGTCTGAATATTACAAAACAGTAACGCATCGATTGAGAAATTAAAAAAAAAACCTTGTCATAGAAACACCGAAATGGAAGTTTGGGAGAACGAGAAATGTTTTATGAACAAGTGCCGCAAGTTAGTATTTCCGCAGCTTTATCGAGTTTTCCAAGCTTTCAAGAGTGTTTCTATGTAAACAATAGAGTGCTTCTGTCGAGAAACTATTCAGGAACAATAGAGTGTTTCCGTCGAGGAACTATCGGCTGATAGTCGCCCCTAGGAAATTTGATGTTCTTAAAACTAGCATATATGCTAGTTTTATATCCAAATATGCTAGTTTTGAGAACATCAAATTTCCAAGGGGCAACTATCAGACTGATAGTTCCGAGACATAAACACTCTATTGTCTTTATTGTTCACCACTAAATTTTCTTCCGCGCGCCAATTCAAAAATCATATTGAATTATTTTCAACTTTTGTAGATGAAAGCCGTGAAAGCCAAATTTAAAATTTAAAAAAGAAAGCAAACAAAAACCCTCTTAATACAAATTCAATTGTTTATTTTCTATAAGCCTGCTTGTTTACAGAAATATTTTCACGGACGAGTACTAACTCTCCGGGTATTTTCCTCGGACGGACACTTTGGGCTAATAGTGTCTCCCCGCGGATGAACACTATCGCGTCACGTGATCAATTTAAACCAATAAGAATCGGCAAAAATCTAGTGATGAACCATAACGGCTAATAGTTGCCCCGCGGAAATTTGATGTTCTTAAAACAAAAATTTGCCCGAGAGGCGAATCTTCGAGGGCAAATATGCTAATTTTAAGAACATCAGATTTCCAAAGAAAAACTATCCGGACCGATAGTTTCGACACAAAAACACTCTAGAAGCGGATCAATCAAATATTTATTCTTTTTTTCCTATAAGCCCTCTTGCTTTCAGAAAAAAAAAATTTCACGGACGAGTACTATCCATCCAGGGTTTTCCTCGGACGGGCACTATGGGCTGATAGTGTCTCTTCGCCGATGAACACTATCGCGTCTCGTGATCAATTTAAACCAATAGGAATCGGCTTGAATTTAGTGGTGCACTAAAGACTCAATAGAATGTATAGAAAGGGACATTGACAGCAATCAATGACAATCTGTAGTTCAAGGACTTACTTCCACCACCTCCATCACCTCCACCACCTCCACCACCTAAAGTGAAGGAAAGTGTGTATCAACTGTTAGGGTCGATAAGCTATAGCAATGAAATAAAACGCATTCTCGGTCCTAACATATTAGTAATTCATATAATTAAAACGGAGGAATTAAAGGTAATCATAACCATGACGTTGTGCAAGGCGCGGTGGCCTCATGGTTAGTGCACTCGTCTCCGGATCGAGCAGTCCGGGTTCGAGCTCTGGCGGGGGACATTGTGCTGTGTTCTTGGGCAAGACGTTTTACTCGCGCAGTGCCTCTCTATACACCCAGGTGTATAAATGGGTACCGGCGAATTTAAAGCTGAGAGTAACCCTGCGATGGACTAGCATCCCAACCAGGGAGGAGTAGAAATACTCCCAGTCGCTTCATGCTACATGTACATGAAACCGGAGATAGGCGCCGGCCTGATGAGCCACTTGGCTCGTATGTAGACTTTACTTTTACCTATAACCATTACTTTGTTTGGATATCTGACATAATTTATCAGCATCCTTTTAACTGCTTTATTTCTCTTGTTTCTCTTCAGCTTTAGTTTCCATCGATTAAGAAGATATATCAAACACTCCAGACGGTGTCTTGTCATATTTCCAAACATGCACCTCAAAGTTCGTCAAAAATACTCCACTGCGAGTCGTATTTTCCACTGACTTTCTGTTCTACGTTAAGTTTGGAAACGTGGTAAAACACGGTTTCTTGCTTTTGATCTATTACCTCTAGACATGAATATAGTTCAGATTTTAAAGCTGGGAAATCCTTGCACTGAAATATTACTTTTTGGGAAAGAGAATCAACGTTGAAAAAAAGCATAAATAAAAGTAATAGGTTTAATGGGGAAATGGCGCTTTGAGATGGCAAACTTACACAAAACAAAATTTAATAGAGGTTATTTGTTCGCTGTAAATGCTTTGATACTAAACCGAATGTTCTGTCCACTGCCGAAACAAGCGTGCACTTCGAGCTGCGATGATACACTTAAATCATGGTTGCCCATTTGGAAGAAGACGGATTGCCTTCTAAAGACTAGATAATTTCCAATCGAGCATCTCAATAGCCGATTTTCGGTTTTTGTAAACATTAAATTGCATTATAATATAGCCTCAAATAAGTATCCAGATCATGTCACACCTTTCATTTGTTCTTCTATCCAGTTAATATAAGAGCTAACACGAGCATACACAGAAAATGTGTCACCAGGGCACGTTTTGCTAGTCACCCACGAAGCCGCTCCACGGAGGACCCACCGACCTCCCTCCATACACGACAAGGGGCCACCACTGTCGCCATTACAGACACTGCTTCCTTTGCCTCCCACGCAGACCATGGAACTCTCATCTACTGATCCTCCATTTGTTCTGCGACACTCGCTGTGACTCGCCACTGGCGCCGATGCTTGTTTCAGACGAGGAGCAAGTAAGTAGTTGTTGTTTGGGTCGATCCTTCCCCATCCTGACAAGAAATCAATCAATCAATCAATCAATCAATCAATCAATCAATCAATCAATCAACCAATCAGTCAATCAGTCAATCAATTAACCAATCAATCAATTAATCAATCAATAAGTAAATAAAAAAATTACAAAAATGGCTAGATTAGATAAGATTTTTCAAAATTTTGAAAACGGATTCTGACGCTGAAACTTCAGTGGCTGTTCGTTCATCCCTTGCTACGACTTTGACGTGTCAACTCACTATCTCTCCACGTCATTTGACATTGCCATAGCAACCACATTTTGACATGCAGTTCGAGCTGAATTAACGTCTACCTCTATAGACTATTGACTTTATTGAATTCTTAGCTTAGTTCATTCTTTCCAATTATCAAGAACTACATTCTGGTATCTTTTTTGGGTAGATTGCCCATCAGTTCACGTTATGTTTTTGACTTTCTGAGAAAATAAGCAAATTCCATTTTAGGAGACTCGGAATTAATGCAAGAGTGGGAATCCAAGATGACGGACTTATTTAGTGACGTCGTGTAAAGTTAGATGATGTCAGAATCAACCAAAATTTTGTCATGTCGTATAGTAAGCTCTATATGTCTCATTACAACGCACACCCAGGAAAGTGGGGTCCATGGCCCCCATGTATTACGGTGGATGTGGTGGGGGGAGGTGAGAATATACGTTTGCGTGTACGTCCGAGAGTTAATTCGGTAATATTTGCTCAAAATTGAACTCATGGTTGGAATACGTTTACAAATAAAGCGAAATTTCAGCGAACACTGTGACTTGAAAAACTAGGATAACAATGCGCGATTGTTAAATTTATTTCCATGTGTTATTTTCAACACATCTTGAAATAGAAAGGCAACTAAAAAAAAACAAACTTTGAACGTATTTTTTGATCAATTAAGGATGAAAACTTTATCTCTCCAAGGACACGTGAAAATTTACAACATTTTGCTAGTCATTTTTTTCTGAATCAACGTATTCATGAAAACACTTCGCACCAAATTCACTGGAAAAATGTCGGAAGATCAAAGCTCGCACGATGTAACCATGGTAACACAACAATGATATCTGCATACTAATTTAATTTTGAAAACGTCAGAAATTGTATGGAATTCAGAACTGAAACTTTTTGCCTTTTACAAATAATGTTGAAACCACGGAACTATATCTGGTGTTGCTTTCTGTCACTACATTGCGTTCAGATTGTAAAAAATTTGAGTAATTTTGGTCCATATATCCTGACATGTATCATATAAGAGGAAAGTAGGCTTTAGCACGAGGTTCGTCAGCGCGTCGGTTCAGAAGATTGCTCGATCCAAATTTTGCACAAGACGGCTATTTTCCATTTTCTTCGTTGTTGTTCGTCGTAATAGCACATGAACGTAACGTTTTCGTAAAATAAAATTACACATACCTTGTTCCTTTTCGAAATTAGCAGTTCCACAAAATCAAATAACAGTTTAGGACTGCCGCCATAGACCGTTTTACAGTTGTCTGCTCAGTGACCTGGCCTTTGAGTGACAGCGAGGTTACCTTGTTTTGCTAAAGACTTCACTGCTTTTGTTTTGTAAATCAAGTCATTCTTATGCTAACAGTTGGCATTTAAATGAGAAAAACAGAGAGGTCAGTATCAAAGCAAGGTTACCTCCAGCCTCGCTTGCATTCATAGGCCAGGTAACTAAGCATAAAACTGTAAAATGGCCTATAGAAACACGTTACAGACAACATACGCACAGTCAGCTCTGGGTACCAGATTAAAAAACAAAACACCTTTCATGTAACGAAATACAAAGAATTTACCTGTCACATAACAATTCGTTCCTGGACTGACACGGGACCCATGTGACGGTAGACAGATCGTGTTGATTTTCCCGCCAAGAGTTGCTGGACGCGCCAATTTCAACACTGCCACGTCATGTCGCAGATACTGCATGCTGAATGAGCGATGCCTGATAACGCGGGAAACTTCAAAGACCTGTCCGTCACCGGTTCTCCTGTGAGCACCTTTTAAGAAAAATAACAAGTTGTTACGAAAAGAAACCATTAATATAGTTGAGATTGTAAATATATGATATGTATATTATAAATAGAACTTTTGTTATTGATAGATTCGTTCATTCATTCATTCATTCATTCATTCATTCATTCATTCATTCATTCAGTCAGTCAGTCAGTCAGTCGGTCATTTATTCGTTCGTTCCTTCGTTCGTTCGTTCGTTCGTTCGTTCGTTCGTTCCTTCCTTCCTTCAAGAGGTCGTTCGGTCTTTCATTTACTCTCGTTCGTTCGTTCGTTCGTTCGTTCGTTCGCTCGTCCATTCATTCTTTCTTTCATATCATCATTCGCTCGATCGTTCGCTCTGTAGTTCATTCATTTACTACAGGCTTTAAACACACCTAAGACCAGTGAATATCGACCAGGGTCACTGCTCTGATAGACACAATGTGCTGCAGATACAACCCAATCTTGATTAACAAGGGAGGCGCCACAAATATGCCGTCCATCATAACGAAGGGACACTTGCCAGGGCCATGAATTAGGGGTTGCTTCTTCGCCGCCCACAATACGGGACCCAAAGGGTTTCTTTCCACATGCTGTTGGATGAAAAATATTTATTATTTCTCCTCTCATATTACCTTTACTGTTTGCATAAATAAATGCAGAAAGAGAAGAAGAAGAACGGTTGTTTTCGTCTAGAAAGGGCAACTTAGTATACCGTTTGCGCCTTTCAATCATTTTCTTGTACAAAGTGTAGCCGGGTATACCAACTTAGGCTAGTAACAATGAACAATGTACGGCAGAGGATAATTTCTTCATGATCTTTTCTGATCTTTTTGGACATAAAAACAAAGGAAAGCTTGAAAATGAATTTATCTATGTGAGTATGAATATCTAGCTGCTGTTAATGTTATAGCACACAATATGTCATTAAAAGGAAATCATGTACGTACGCTAGATATGTTAAGTCTTACCTTCTGTAAGTGACGGTGTTGAGACACACACCAACAAGGTTAAAACGAAAATCATCTTGCTAGCGATTTGACCAAAAACAGGCAGGACTCGTTCCTTTATGCTACCCCTCCAAGACAGCTGTGTTTGGATCCCTTTTGACGAATGGAGTTCATAACTTTTTTAATTCGCAGTTTTTGTTATTGCACTTGAAATCAGTCATGAAGAATCTAAGAAAACTATCGACTATGTGTTGTTAGTCTGATATTAAATTCTTTCCAAATGGCATATAACATCATTGCATTTCATCACCTGGTTCGTCTGTGTTTTCTTCTTGTCTTTCATGACTGTGCAAATACTGTCCATTATTTCACCAAACCGTCGGTTGCAAATACTTCAATAAAATATAGTAAAGAAACACATTTTTTATCCTTGTTTTTAACCTGTGTCGCAAAGCAGTTGTTCTATGTTTGGGCGCCTCATTTCTAATACGGTTAGTTACCTGTGGCTGGTCACTTGCACAGACAGACCAAAAAGCATAGCGGATGCAAAAATCATCCTCACTGGTAGTGATATGACCATAGAATACGGACACGCTTCAGGTTTTATTTGTTCTTTCATGTTTCAGTCGAAAGCTGTGTTTGAGGCCTTTTTGGCCAATGGATTTCATAATTTCTTTTAACGCCAGTATTTGTTATTGACTAGCTTCGAAATCAGAACATGATCGATTATTTATTGTAAGTCTGATATTAAATTCTTTCCAAATGGCACATAATAACATTGAATTTTATCACCTGGTTCGTCTGTGTTTTCTTCGTCGGCTTTCGTGTTCAAATAAACTTAAAAAAACTGTTTGTTATTGCACATGCAAAACAAAGATTGCTGATTCTTCCATAACGAATAGTATAGGAACATGATTTTTACCCTTGTTTTGTGACCTGTGTCGCAAAACGCTTTTACTACTGTATTTAGGCGCGTCATTCCCAAGACGGTTAGGTAACCTGTGGCTGGTACTTGCTCAAACACACCAGCGAGCATAGCTGAGAGAGCAAAAATCTTCGTGGTGCCGATATGATCAAACACAGGTAGTTTATATTTGACTGTTATTTAATGTCGTTTTTCCTCCCTGGTTCTTATAGTCGACGGCTGTGTTTGAGGCCCTTTTTGACAAATGTATTTAATAATATCTTGTAAGCACAGTTTTTGTTGTAAGTCTTGAAATCAGTCACAAAAGAAAAAGTGTATGACATTACCGTTTAATTACCTGGTTCGTCTATATTGGTTACGCGCCTTTCACCCGTATATGCTGTCTGCTGATGCAGAATTGAAAACTTTTTTTTTTTTTTTGCAAAATCCGGTGTTCCGACTTATCAGTTTAAGATTGTGGAAACTGTTCTTTACCGAAAATATTATAAGGAAAACTAATAAGTGGTCATTTTTCAGCAATATTTATTATTCTTCCAACTTTTTTTTCTCCCGCGAAGTCTTCAAGACTAGCCTTGGTTCAGTAATTCTGAAAAAAAAAAAAATGAAAGAAAATCATTGTATTTGAAAATTTTTCAAGATTAATCCAGTCAGTCGCTATCGAGTAACAGAAATTTAAACCAGTTGATACATTTTTACGGTACTTTGACAATCACCCCTGACATGGTTAGTGAGCCCCCCACCCCACCCCACCAGCCCCGGCCCGTGTCTTGAAAGAAGCCAGAATTACCTTTGAGAAAAAAAAAAAATTACGACGACTTTCTGAAAGGGTTAGATGGAAGAAGGGGGCTGAGAAGAGGGTGGGGGGTGTCTGGATCAGGACGGGAGTTTTGGTTTTTCTCTTCACTGTTTTATTATTTTTTTTCCAAAAGGGAATTATTCCAGAGTCAAACGTATGCACTACCATAAGAGGCTCGTTTTAACGAGGGTGGAGAAGGAGAGATTTATTTGTCAGTTTGCCTCAATATAACTTACTTACACCTGATCGTACCTTTTTGGTACGCTTTGCCGGCAGCATTTCAGCCGAGTTTGGTCGAGCCATGGTTCGTATTTTGGCGAGACGCAGTCGAGTCAAAATACATGGCGAGACCAAACTAGTCTGATATGCCGCCGAAGCGTAACAAAAGGGTACGATTAGGTATTCACTGTATCCAAATTCGGCCAATTGAGCATGATATCTAAGCCATATCAGGTCAGTGACTTTATATCGCAGGACATCAGGACGGTAGACACAGTTTCTCATTGGCCAATTGTAAATTTGGGTACAGTGAGGTGGCATATCTGGAGAATGTGATGTAGCCATGGTTGAGTAAGACCCAGCACAGTAGAGCCAAAATACCCATGGCGAGAAAAAGGAGCCTTATATAGCGCCCAAGCCTATTAAATGATATGGCATTTACGGCACCAAAATTCGGTCATAAATCGGGCCATATCAGGTCAATAACTTGATATCGGAGGATATGAGGTCAGACCTCCGGACCGAGGAAGGTTGGGGGGGGGGGGGGGGGGCACTCTACAAAGTTCAATACCGGGAGGCTCCGCCGCGAGGTCCAACTCCAAACCCTTTTGTACGCCATTTTGGCAGAAAAGGTAACCCTTTCGTATGCTTTTAATTAATTGAAAAAAGGTACACAATTCACGTGCTTTCATAACCGGCCCGTATTATGAAGAAATCGCTAACTTCTTTGTCATTTTCGTATAGTGCCTAATAAATGAAATGATACAGCCATAAGGTGCGTCTGTTCGAAATATCTTAAAGGCCTTTTAAAATAACTAAATGATAGATTTCCCTACCATTTCTTATTGGCCCAACTTGTGGAATCCTTACTCTTTGATATACATGAAGCCTGAAAAAGGCAACCCTTTCGGGCGGAGCCCCCCCGTATAGGCCATGAAAAAGAGTACCCGCCGGGGGGAGGAGGAGAGGTTCAGACGACAAGTTCTCTGTGAATTACAAATTTGGGAACGATAATTGGTTTTGTTTCATTTCTTCCTGTGCGCTTATAAGATGTACTTAATGGATATATTCCAGAGATATGTTACTTACAGCACATTTGGCATGTGTATTTGCAGTTGGGTCCGATGCCTGGATGACTGCAAGATTGCTTGTATATTTTGCAAAAACTTTCTGGCCAGATATCCTTACAATCTAAATGAAGCAATGCATAGTGTGATTATTAAAATATACTGAAGATACCACTTGAGACTTACTAACTCAAGGGGTATGTTTTTTCCTGTTTGTTTTGTTTATTACTATCATGTTATCATGGTTGACAAATTACTACCAGAAGCATATCACCTCGACGAGGTGATATGCTTCTATTATTACTCAGTCCTTAATTTATTGCGCGAAATTTCAACACTAATTTAAAATTTCGCAAGCGAAATTACAAAATTGCAATGGGAAAGTTGTAAACAGTTGTAAGCTTAATTTGTCACCCATGGTATTAAAAGGTGATCAAATGGTATACTCGTGAAATTAGAAAATAATCTCACTTGCGTTTTGTCAAATTTCTAACAATTTTGATAAAACGCGCGTGAAAATATTTCCTAATTTCACAAGTACACCGGTTGATTACCTAGACTTATAAGGGCTATGACTTCATCAGAACGGTTAAATTGTTTATTTGTTTCTAGTTTCCATGATGACAGAAAAGAAGGTTTGAAACGTAAGCTACCTATGATCTAAAAGTTGGGAAGACATCCCAAAACCCAAGCAGAAAGTTTAAAAAAAGTATAAAAAGTACAGCAATTTGTGGAGCAAATGAAAAAAATATCGTATTAACTCTTGTTCTTAGGCCATCGCAGCTTGATTACGAATATAGTAGTGAGAAGTTGCTGCTTTACAAGCTGTTAATCCTCATATTGTCTAGACAGGTTAACTCATTGCTGGAGCTCAGATCATTTTTCTCAGTCTAGGTTCCAGACCTTCAATATTTACAATGCTGTAACATTCAAAAATTTGTAACGGTCCCCTTTGAAAATGTATGTTAACTAGCATACGAAACGTCAAGTTCTATATCAAAATGCGTTGGAATACAATGTTTATCACCGCTGTTTGTGTTATATTCTTAAAAGAAAACCTTTTTTTCATCATTCAGGCCGTTTTTTTTTTTTTTTTTTTTTTTTGCAAAAATAGCACAGTATTGCTCCCTGGAAACTGTTCGAAAGTTAATTTTCCAAACAACGTTGAAGGAACAAACTGTACAGTACGACTTGGTCGCATGCACAGCTCACGAGAGTTTACTGCAAACCACGCTTACTTGTTATATTTTAAGCTAAAACATGAAGGGCGGGAAAACGCATGCATGCTTATTCTAGTGACTTACTTCCTCCTCCACCCGGCTTGGTTGGCACCGGGGGCGGGGGAGGAGTTGCTCCTCCTCCACCACCACCACCACCACCTCCTCCTCCACCTAGAAAATAAAAAAGATAATTAACAACACTCACAATGATGTATGCAAGAAGAAATATTACGTCTTATCAGGCTGCATGCTTGATAGGGGCAAACAATGTATGCTTGCAGGGGCAAACATGCATTGAAATGAGACCCTCTATCGAATCAGCCCATAAGTGACCAAATTACCGATCTTTTTTCAAAATGTTTTAAATTACTGGTAATAATAAAAATGATAGTAATGATATCGCCAATGACACCGACAGCGTCAGCGTCAACGACAACGACAACCACAATGATAACAACGGACTTATAATACATAATTCTAAAGTTCTAAGGCACTGTACTCCAAGTTGATCCTAAAATAAACAATTAACAAATAACAAATAAAAAAGCCGCTATTAAAAAGATTTCAAAACTGCGTGTGTTGTGAAAAAGATTTGAAGGATAATAAACACAATAGCCTCCATTTAGCGTGAAAATATACTCGGATATTTGTCCTTGGACATTATATGGTCTTTGAAGCTCACAGTTTTCACCTCTCGGAACAGATAATGTCCACGGACAAATATCCCTGTATATTTTCGCGCAAAATGGAGGCTATTGTTTATTTATTTCTCATTTTGTAATTATATCGAGGCCTCTTCACGTGCACGTACCTTGCCCGATGTGATTTGTGATCCAGTTAATATAGGAACTAACACGGGCGTACACAGAAAATGTGTGACCTGGGCACGTTCGGCTGGTCACCCATGAGGCCGCCCCACGGAGGACCCACCGACTTTCCTCCATACACGACAAGGGGCCACCGCTGTCGCCATTACAGACACTGCTTCCTTTGCCTCCCACGCAGACCATGGAACTCTCATCCACTGTTCCTCCGTTTGTTCCGCGACACTCGCTGTGACTCGCCACTGGCGCCGAGGCCTGTTTTAGGCGAGGAGCGAGTGAGTTGGTATTTGGGTTTATTCTTCCCCATCCTGCATGTTGCAAGAAAGAGGACAACAATAAAAAGACGGAACTTGTCCTTAAAAGATAAAATTACGGCTCACTGCACACCGATTGAACCTAATACTGGGTATTTTGTTCCCAGTTACATGAAAATCCGAACAGCGAGGTTCGTGATGATTTTCCATAGGTTGCTGAGTATTTCTCGCAACATGCTTTTCAAACTCATTATTAATTCATGAAGTTAAAACAAAGAAAATCCCAACTGTGAAGGAGGTTTGGATACCCGGTCTTTATTAGCATAGATTTTGACGATTCTGGTTCTCTGTTTACTCCTTAGTTTTTGTTTCGATTGAGAAGATATATCAAACACTCGAGACAGTGTTTCATCGGCTATCCAAACACCCCGAATTTCGTCAAAATACTCCGCTGGGCGTCGTATTTTTAACCCTCTTCTCGGTGTTTGGATATCCCGATGGAACACTGTCTCCGCGTGTTTGATATATTTCATCAACATTTCTGAGCATAAATTCCAGATGATTTCCGAAACCTGTCTTGTAGATTTGAAAATGTTTTGTTTTCGAGTCAGCTTGTTCCTGCAGTTCACAATAGCAAGTAGAAAGAAGGTCGAGGACGGAGAACTTCTGACATAAAAAGCTAAAAAGTAAAAATTTATTAAAACATTTCGGTCTTAGACCTTCATCACTTACCCTCCAAGAACGAAAGGTTTTAATAAATTTTTACTTTTTAGTTTTTTACGACAGAAGTTATCCGTCCTCGACCTGCTACTTTTTATCCATACTAGCTACATGTTGAGGTTTGGACTGTGAACTTTACGAGATCGTCCTGGCGTCATGCCACCTTTGTTGGCTCGCAGTACAGATGATAACTTCTATAAACACACACACGTGTATATACGTTTTGATAAGGCAGGTCTGAATATGGCAGCCTTAGAGTTGGCGTGGACCTGCCATAAAATGTAACTAGCCTTATATTTATACAAAAAAAGAAAATCTTAAAACATTAAAACAAATCCCGGTTTTTAGAAGTAATTAAACAAGTATCTTTCTCAAATTGGATACGACCGAGACTCACTTTACACTGACAACTCAAACGCGAGAGGAAATGCATGATAATAACAATCTCGCCTGTCACATAACACTTGGTTCCTTGGCTGACACGTGACCCATGTGATGGCAGACAGATCGTGTTGATTTTCCCGCCAAGAGTTGCTGGACGCGCCAATTTCAACACTGCCACGTCATGTCGCAGATGCTGAATGCTGAATGAAGGATGCTTGATGACGCGGGAAACACTAAAGACTTGCCCGTCACTGGTTCTACTGTGAGCACCTTTACAGGAAAAATATCAAGAACAAGAATTTATGACGAGAAACGAACCCCTCCTGGTTAAAGTCTAAACAGATCTTAACAAAATCTAAGTAAATCTTGGCAAGATGTTAGTAAATCGCCTTAAATCTTTTCAGACCAAAACTCTACGAAAACAAAGCAACTTCCTGAGACGCACCAAGAGCCACTGAATATCGATTAGGATCACTGCTTCCATCAACGCAATGTGCTGCCGATACAACCCAGTTACTGTTGACAAGGGAGGCGCCACAAATATGACGTCCATTGTAACGAAGGGACACTTGCCAGGGCCATGAATTAGGGGCTGCTTCTGCGCCGCCTACAATACGGGACCCAAAGGGCTTCTGTCCGCACGCTGTTGAAGTAGAAACATATGTAGCTATAATGTTAATGTTAATGTCTCAGTTAACGCTTTTACTCTTCTAGCTTGGCTTAATATTAAGTAAATTTTACTCTTTTTACGAAGGCTGGCAAAAAATTCCGGCGCTTTCCTGCAGCTATATTTTTTATCAAGCGATGTAAGACTATTGATACCGCACGAATACCCAATTATTGGGTAACACGTTGCGGTTATCTTATATCATTATTGGTTACCATAGAAATAATACACCTTCAATTTTAGCTTTTGATTCAAACACGACTCGGTAACCCACACTTTTTACTATGGAATCGTAATTAGCATGACAAGATACGACTTTTTGCAAAGTGTTAAAAAAAAAAAAATTATTCAGAGAGCAGTCAGAGCCCCCTTAAATTCTTATTTCGAGTTTAGCGAGGCTTAATTTATTTTTTCATTTTTTGAAAAAAAAAGTGGTTATGGGTAAAGAAAAATTAAAAATTCACGTCAAACGTAGAATTGGTGGATGGCGAACTACTTAGAATACAGTTATCAGAACATTCACTAAATTTGACAATGTCCTACCTAATCACGATCAATGATAATTTTTGAATGCGCTGTTTAATTAATTTGATTTGTTTGTATATACAATATCAAAAAAGTCTCATATTTAGGATAAAAAAACACTTGTGAATTAAAATCTTACCTTCTGCAAGTGATGGTGCTAAAATGCACACCAGCAAGCTTATCACGAGAACGAAAAACATCTTGATGTGAGTGTAATGAGCAGAAGCAGCCAAATGACTGTTTCTTATATTTCGGCTTTACCCAGTTATTCTACTCAGCTGTATTTGAGCCAGGAGTTTGGTGAAAAAACCCTACGACCTCTTGTATCAATACTCTGAAAAATCACCCAAGAAGAACTCAATCACTTGTTTTGTTAATCTGACGTAAAAAGCGTTTCCGAATGGTTTATTTGGCTACTTGATTTAATCATCTGTTTATATTATTTGAAAATACGTCTTGTGGTAACAAAAGATTCAACTTGAATCTTTTTTTTTTTTTCACGAAAAAGAAAGATTTGTCATTTTAACATGCTTATGCAGTTGTTAGCCCTCGTACAGACCTTAAAATTCCTTTTTTCGTGTGAAGCAAGGAGCTAGAAGATGTCCACAACAGTCTGTAACTGGATGATTACGCTCCAACGGATCGAAACGGAGAAGTTCTTAGAGGAAACTTTAACTGACTGTCTTTGCTTTACTAACACTGACCACTTCAATTAAAGAGCACGCAGGTGAAGGGAGCAATATTTCTGCAGCTGGAAAGTGTATGTTTTCTCAGCTCATCTCTCATCTCAGAATTTTTCTGACCAAAACCAACAAAAAGAATTTTGTGTAGTTGTTTTTGCCACTGTAATTTGCATTTCCTTTTCGAAATTGAAGCGTAACATTTGGAAATTAGATTCGCAAACTCGCAGGAAAACTCTTAATAAAACTGATTAGATATTACTAAATGTTATTAAACCTTGTTATGATCTTAGTTAATCTTAACAAATCCTTGCATGATATTAAGAAGATCTTAGCAAATCTTATCAAACCTAAGCATAATCTTAGTGAAATTCTAAGCCGAATCTTAACAAATCTTATTAAATCTTGGAAAATCTTAATAGATCTAAGCATGATCTTGGAAAAATCTTAGAAAATCTTAACAAGTCTAACCATAATCTTAGCAAAATCTTTGAAAATCGTAACAATTCTAAGCGTAATCTTAATAAAATCTTAGCAAATCTTTAAAAATCTAAGTATGATCTTGGTAAAATGCTAGCAAATCTTTAAAAACAAATCTAAACATAATATATTCAAGTAAAATCTTGATAAATTAATTGTAGCAGATCTTAATAAGCCACGGCAAAATCTTAGTAACTTTTAAGAAATTTTAGCATAATCTTAGTAAAATCTCGCCAAATCAATCTTACAAATTTAAGCATAATCTTAGGAAAATCTTGGCATATCAATCTTAAATTAGGAAAATCTTGGCAAATTGTCTAAATTAACAAATCTAAAAAGTTAAGAATAACCTTTACAAATCATGACAATATCTTAGCAGTTCTTTGAAAAATCCTAGAGGTCGAAAAGCTGGTTGTCACGCGCGTGCGTGATCAAGCGTTACATTCGTTTACGGTGACAGGAAGGAGACCAAGCTCACATGAAGAGGTGCTTGAATAACCCCAGACCAGCCGAACACTGGAGTAATCAGTCTAATAATTTAAAGGCAAGTTCGTAGACTGAATCAGACAATGTTAGAGCGCTTTAAAAGCCTGCAGAGACATCTGAGACAGGCATGTCGAGAAGAACTGTGGACACCCTGCCCAAAACATGATAAGGCTTTGAAAGTTCCCCCTAAGGCTAGTCCAATTCTAGTCTACACGAACGGAAGACAAACGCTTTTTTCAGATTGGCTTTGCATTACTTAATCCAAATCATTTTTGTTATCGTGATAATCCGTCTCAGTTGCTCCTAATTTTAAACTCCTTTCTTGATCATGTCATGGCGTAAGAGCGTCTGCGTGGGAGGCTAGTGACGCAGGGCACAAAATGAACTTTTAAAAGGAGATTTGACAGTATAATTTTGATAAGTTTGCATATCGACAAAAAAAAAAGGAACCTGAAACTTAAACTCAGAACATGGCTACTTTGCGGGGGAACTCAGTGACCCACGCAGAACTGTATAAATCCGTGGTTATAGATCGTTTTCACTCACGTGGCCAGCAGCCATGCAAATTTATTGAAACAAAAGAAAGTGTTTACATAAGAAAATAGTTCAATTCCGACAGGATTGTTTTGGTACACCAACATGGCTGCCCTTTCATTGTTTTGGAACACCAATATGGCTGCCGTGACATCATGTGAAAACGCTCTATACAAATACAACTTCCTTGATACATGGCTGCAATTTGCGATTTGGGTGTATGCAGGTAAACATGTCCATATTTGGAGTGTTTGCGTGGACGATTTAAGTCATTGACGCGGCTTACCCACAAAACTCCGTTTACATTGTCCAATGAAAACAAAACGTTTCTTTTTCTCAACTAGTTTTATGCTTATCATCTGATATCCTATGTACATCCGCCTTCCTACTTCAAAATAAATCAGAGAAAAGGTGTGTCTGCATGCAATATTTACGCGAATTTTGTAGCTGCAGCAAAATTCAACCATTCAGTATTTTCGACTTGGCATAGGTCTTGTGGTTACAACTATTTAGCGACTTAATTCTTTTATCGTCCCATATTTACGATGCTGACTCTGATATTTTCGGTTTCCATCTTTTCTTTGCCAAATCAAAATTACAGTGAGGGTAAACTACTATGAATTCATCGCTAAAGCGGTCATTACACCCTCGCTCTATCCTCCAAACACAGCTTTACTCTGTGCATAAGTTGCTTATTTACTGACCGTGCGGTCCAGACGGGAAAATATTTCGACTGAACAGGCGATAACTTACAGTGGTTGACATCCAACTTGGCTCCATCAACTTACGTAGAATAAATATCTTATCGCAAAAGCAACTGTAAAAAATAAGGATTATCTTGGTACAATTTAATTCGGGAAGTGTTTAAGCGCACGGACTTCCGAGCTGACGTGCACAGTATTAGTGCAAGTTGACTTTGTTTGCGTCATCGCTGACGTGCGACCAGTTTTCTATAGAATGACGCTATCTAGGGTTACAGGGTCACGTGATAAGACACTAATGTTGCTTTTCATAGGAATGCGTAAGGTACCATACAATGCCCACTGTTCAGCTGTCTGTTCCTAAAATAGCTTAATTCATCAACTTGCCCAACCCAATAATCAATACGGATGTTCTGTACTTAAGCAGGTACCAAAATGATCGGCAAGCAAGTTATAGCTCCACTCTGGCGGTAGACTAATGGTGAATATCGAATAATAACTGTTACTGTCACTCAAATGGAGTCAGTTCACCAGCCAAAAGTCAACCTCTCCTTTTCCATTGAAAATATTTTACGGGACGATTTCCCTCACCGACAGGGAGCAAACGGCTGCAATTTTATATCACAGCATGAATCCAGTTTTGAGCGATGGTCAAACACAGCTGTTTATCCGCCATATCATGCAGTTCATTACAGTCCTGTTATTGTGAAAAGTCTGCCCAATAGACCGCAAGGTCAGATTTTATTTGAGGAGCATAACAAGATGGATGACTGTTCAAACTGCAAGCACGAAGCATTACGGCATGAAAACGGTAAGAGTTATATCTTAATGTATTTTTTAAACTTCTTCCTGAGCTGTCACATCACGTAAAATTCTACATTACTTATGGACTTTTTCATTTTAAGAAACCGAAGAAGACTGTCAAAATGTAAATAATCCAGTGTGCAATGGACGGTTGCAATAAAATTTAATTGGTTTAATTTAGTAGCACTCCATCCTAACTGTTAACCTTTATTCTGTGTCAGATGCATAAAGTTTATGGTGAGAAGGGAATCTTGCAAGAAATGTATTTTCTTGCATGCCTCTTAATGATCGGGAAAATTTTAAAATTGTTTAAAAAATGCATGTTTTCGTCGATGACGCCGGCATAAAGCCGTTTTACCATAGACGCAAATTTCACTTTTGAAGATCACATATTAAGGATACGTGAAAAACTTCGCTTGAGGCAGTAGCTTGTTTGGCGAGCCGAAAGTCAATATTTATTTCCTTACAGTTACTGTGCAATATTGCAGAAAGAACTACAAACGCGAAACACAGGTACGTACATAACTCCATATTTCATCAGTGTGAAACGAAAATACATCCACAGGTACTCACATACTGTATTCCTGTTATTAGCAAATAAGACTCAAGGCTCTTTGAGGTGATAAATACCAGTCAGTAGCGTTTGGAATAATCCGTATTTCCAAATTGATCCTATTCAAGAGCTCGTAAAATAAGTTCTTTTGATTTCATTTCATTTCATTTCCGCGGTATGTATTGCATTTTCTACAAAGTCACTCGCTTACAGGTCGTGAATTACACTTAAAAATTACAACACAAGAAGCTGGCGATAAGAATCTCATGAAATAACTTTACATGTGAGGCTACGACACTTTTAATTGACGCATGTCCCTTAATGACTCCTAAAACACTCCATAATTGATGCCTTCGGCGGGAAAACGAAAACTATTTTAATACAAAGGCTTGTACATTTTGAGCGCAAATAAAATAAAAATCGTTCTACCGCAATATTAATGTTGGCGTCCTCTTTGTTATTTTTATTGTTTGCTTTTACATAAAGATTAGGATGAAATGAAAACTGCGATGAAGCTGAAGTGACACTCCCATGCAAGCCACAGCTGTCTCTTAACACAAAATCCCTTTGTCCATGATTGTTTTGCTAAGCAGAGGATATGATATCTGTTTTTGAGACATATTTTGGTTTCGTGCCAGTGCTTTAGCTAACAAAAGGGCGCGGCCGATTTGAGATCCTTGGCGATGGGGCTACACGCCGTACAATATCTACAAACATCTCGTGACTGTTAACAATCAGCTATTGAGCTTTCACGTGGTTTAATATTGATCGTTCAAATTTGTCGTCTCCACGCTGAACGCGGATTTGTGTGAACGTAAACATACAATTGCCGGCTTGCTACTGAGTGTAGTAAGGCGAAGGTAATCTGCAGCCCACACTTTTATTCCCTGTTACAAATTAAACTCAAACACTTAAGCTCTGAAGTAATGAATCAGCGCTGTAGGCGAGCTGATCATTGCTTGGACGTGCCTCCTGGAACCTGGTGAAAATATCTAAAAGCGACTTCTTTTGAATTTTTTCATCCGCTGCAGTTGTGTTTCAGGATCTGCTTGAGTGTTTGTTTTGCTAACTATAGTGGCTTTTGAGAACTCGTTTATATGTTCTGCCTGTATGACTGTGTTAATTGTATATATTGCTCGGAGCGGCTACACTGTAAAAACAATTATAATGACCTGATTGGCTGCTTTTTGACTTGTTGACTTTACGCGTTACATGTAACAACAGAGTATTCAAATTAAAAATATTGGAACAGTTGGTTAATATAATATATTACTCTAAAAATCCCTCACTGTGTCTACTTTTAATTCCGCTTAAATTTAACACTAAAACGGTTCAATATATAGAAGTGAAAACTACATTCAATTAATTAACAGCCTCATAAAATTTGCAAGCATATTTTTAATTTCGTTTCTACATGATAGCCAGAACTTTTGTTCCAACGCAGCAATGTTTTATATTTACATGTTCAAATAATTTTTGATGAGAGGGAGCTTGGTGGATATGTTATTAGCAGGCCTTAGAAGACTGATCAGTGATAAGTGATATCGATTAAGCCGCAAAATTTAATGTCAACACTCAGCTATATTGAATCGTGTTGCGGTGAACATCACGACCCCGAAATTTATATTTATCGTATTTTTATCACAGGCCCAAAATCTCTCTTAACCTGAGTTATTTCTATGCTTCAGACCCCAAAATAAACAACAGAGAAGTTAAGGAATTCTTCAACTCGAAAGCGTGCCGTAATGGGGTTGGCGCTCAAAAACGGAAGCGAAGAAATCGCAGCCATTTCACCCAGCATCAACTGCAGTATCTGGAGAGGCTGTTTTCCTGCCAAAAGTACCTAACACGGGACGAACGCATGGTCTTAGCGAGGAGCCTGGATATGACTGAACTTCAGATCAGAAACTGGTTTCAAAACCGGAGATACTTGAAACGACGTCGAGCCAACGAAAACTCAAAACAGGATAAACCAGCTGAGATTCTTCCACGTGTGCTCAGGTTCAAAACTGACAAAGAACCAAGATGTTTTGTGGAACTAAAATAGAACAGTTAGCAGTGGCAAACGGGTAGGTTCTCCGAGCCACATGACATCATGAAAATTAGTGCAAATGTTTTTAGTTGTAGTAAAAGCCAGAAATGCCGCTATAAGATGCACCTTTAATTTTGAATTTAAACCTTAGCGTGTTCGAGGGGTTTCGATTGACTTGCAACTAACAACAATTGCGAGAAGACCCATGATCGAGTCGGCTGAAAAACTAGCATCGAGAAAGAATGGGGTTAGCTAATATTTTTCCACTAGCCATTCTATACCCAGCTGCCTCAGTAAACGTCTTGGAGAGGCTATCAAACAAGGCCAAATCACTTATTATCTCGCTAGGTGTTCTTTGGTAATCTATATTCAACACCTGATGTATATTTTTAAGTCGATACGACCCTGAGTTCTGGTTACAACTTACTCAGTCTATGTCGACAGTAATGATTAATGGAGCGAACCTTTCCTTCTTTAGCCACCTATCTTCTCCATAAACTTTCATATACTGCTTGCGATATTTCTCGAGTACAATTTAATCCCATACATTGTTAAGTTTCGCATAACTAACTGGTCAGAAGTGATCATAGTTTTAGCTTGTAGAAATGATTGCTACAAAGATATGTGTTTCATCGCGGTTACCTACACCAGCGTAGCGTTAAAATGTTAGATGGTTTCTTGAAAACAAGCTATACTGGCAAAGAAACACTACAAAACAACTATACTGAAGCAGGTAGAGCAGTATGCTCTTTTACTAATAATAAATCGCTTGACGTCAAAACACCGCGCCCTTTAGTGAGTCTGTGCCGCTTTCTTAAATTATAAGTTGCACTTTTAGCGTGTTCGAGGAGTTCCGGTTGACTTGCAACTACCGACAATTGCGAGAAGACCATCGAGTGAAAAAGAGAAAGGCACAAAGGGTTGGCTGACATTTTTCCACCAGTCATTCTACCTAACTACCTAAACGTCAAGGAGAGGCTATCAAACAAGGCCAAACCACGCACTGTCTTGTATAGACGGTTCTGCGGTAATCTATATATATTCAACACCTAATGTATATTTTTAAGTCGATACGACCCTGAGTTCTGATTATAACTTACTTAGTCTATATCGGCAGTAATGATTAATGGAGCGAACTTCTCCTTCTTTGGCTACCTCCGTATCCTCTCCATAAACTTTCATATAACCTCGCGATATTTCTCGAGTATAATCACAAGCATTGTTAAGTTTCGCATGACTTACTGATTAGAAATGATCATGGTTTACCTTCAAGAAATGATTGCTCAAGAGATGTGTGTTTCATCGGGGTGAACTACACCCGCGCAAAGTTAAAATTTTACATTTTGTCTTGAAAACAACCTATATTGGCAAAGAAACACTAGAAAACAACTATACCGAAGCAGATGGAGCAGTATGCTCTTTTAGTAATAATAAACCGCTTGACGTCAAAACACCGCGCCCTGTAGTAAGTCTTCGTCAGTAGTCTTTGTTCACCGTTATTTATAACTTACGGTATATAAACGACATCAACATTTAATTGCTTTACAATATTGAGCGATTCGTCTGAAAGCAGACAGCTAGTGACTAAAGGTGATTAAGAGAATATCAAGTAAGCCGACATGACATCACCTTGTTGTTTCACCAAATTTACCGAACTATAATGTTAAAGAAACATAACGCTAACAGTTATGAGTGTTTTTGTAATATTGGTGCTAGGTTTTTAGCCAGAACTACTGTCACGGCAGAAGGAGTAACATTGCAACGCGGACATAAGACCGCCGCCAAAGCTTCTTCAATCGGATTATGCATTGCAAACTGCCACTCCCATTTGCAAAACAACTGAGCGGAACAGAAGAACAGAACAAAGGGTTTTTGTAAGGCAACTGATATTGAATGTAAATAAATAAAACCCACCCACACTGTGCCGGAGAAAATTAGTACATTTCCTGTGATAAGTTCTTTTTCCGCGTTCTCAAAGCACAAACCCACGAAACAACAGATGCAGTCTTATGGATCACACAAGGCTAGTTATAACTTAACGTAATGGAAAATTAGTATACCATGCTCATTTCTTGATTAATCATATCGCTCAAACAAGTGGAGTTATAATGAACCGATCGACTCGGAATTTTCTTTACTTCAGTACAAACTAATAGCTACAAAACATTGCGACCGTTCCCACTTTTATCCTTAATAGCTCATTCTCGTATTGACGCAATCCCGCTCTTGGCAGCTAGCTAAACTTCATTTCCTCTACATTGCCTCTGAACAATATCTAAACGACCTCCTCCGAAATTTTTATACAAAGTACTATAAGGCGTGACTTGTAAGCAGACAGCTTATTAAAAAAGAATAAAGGAAAAAACATCCGCTAGGAGATATTGTCTTCATGTGTCATTAAAAATCTCACAATTAACATTAAACGAAACTTATGAGGCAAAGTGAGGAGAATGTACGTTTTGAGCTTAGCCTGGGTGCGCAGTTATCTCGCTATACGGGTCTATTGTTAAAAGTCACCCTGGTGAATTGATATAATGCTTGCATAGTGGGTGTGAAGTGACGTCGCCAACGCTTGTTGGATTAAACAGTAAAACTACAAAATCATTGAAGCAAAACACTTAACTGTTATTTTATGGTATAATACGAAAAAAATAACACTCTTTTAACCCGTTTATCTAAACCCTCTCAGCTATTGACGTGTTTGCTTAAATAAAGCTGACACTGTAACCTCACAATAAAAAGATGGAATGGCTTATTGCCAGTTATGATTTTCTGTTGAAAACTGTGTTTCGTTGATTTGATTGCTTACGTAGTCTCCAGCATCTCTCGAACCCAAAGTTTCGATTTCAAAGTCTTTACACAGCCAGGCAAGCAGCCGGCCAAGTTAAAAAGACAAGTTCTGTATACTGACCAGAATGAATTTTGTTTTGAATGTTGATTCGCAGAGTTCGATAGTTCATCAAGGCAATATGGCTGCTGGTCCAAGTCGATAAGTATTCCTTCACTTATCGCAACTTTGCTTGACAATGTAGTGATAAAATAGAAATAATACAAGCAAAAACGCAATCAGCTCATTCGCCAATAAGCCGAAAGAGGCCGAATCAGCAAAGAAGCTAAGATATTAAAGTCAAAAAATATGTTTAAATGTTGTTGTTTATATAATGGCCAATGTTTACAATATTTACTTTATATAAGCCCATAGAAAGATCATTCACTGAATATTCGCGAGACAATCAGTCTTTCGTTAACGAATTTAAGGAGGCAATGACATTTACTCAATGCCACCTACTAGTAACTATGAAAGAAATTTTCTTTAAAACTGGCTACGTGTTATAACAGGCCAAAATAACAGGCCAAGCTTCGACCTTTGATAAATTATTTTCTCTTCTCTAACATCACGTGCTGCCACATTCTCGTCAATAATCCTAGTTGACGTCGGACGGTTTAAAATACATGCAATGCGGTACTCCATCCACCACCGCGACCCTTCCATTAAGATTTCCTGTGCACTGTGTTTACCGACTCCGACAGACATTTCTTCTGAAAAGGCAGTTGAAAAAGTGACTTTATGTCACAGATTGATATAAGGGACATTGCCCGAAAATAATATATAAACTGAACGAAAAGTTTATGGGAAAAACATTCCGCAAACGGAAATCGTCCGGTTGTAGTTTGAAACATAAAGAAAATATTACCGTCTAACTGAATAGATTTTGAAAACTAGACAAGTCTAGAACGCATCGGCTTTAATGACAAAAAATCAGAGTGACACATTTTAAATTTTTGCTCTATTTTCCTCAAGCCGTCTGGTTGGAAGTAAAATTTAAGACTGGCACAGTTGTATGTAATTTCTGCAAAACCTTATTTGTTTGCGAATGAAGTTCATAATAATATGATCAGTAAATGACACTTCAATAGAGCTGTCCTTTGTTTGATAAGCGAGGGCTGACCTCAGCGTGTTGTGGCCAAGCCCACAGTTTTGTTCTTACGGTATTGACGCAATGTCGGTCTTAGTAATTACGTCACGGTTTGCGCATCTGCAAAAGTTAAGCCTAAAGTTTTCCATCCTTGCCCATCCGTGTTCCTTTATGGTTTATAATTAAAGGTACTTTTGTACAAGAGTAAAATAACTGAAAATGGCACGACTGAACTCCTTTACGGAGTTATAGTTTCCGAAGATACGTTTCCTTTACAGACAATCAATCGAGGAGTGATATCGATTTGTCGTTTGCATGCGATATCTTATAATACAGACTTCCTTCACTATTTGTTTAAAGAAATCGCACTGTCTAGAGGAAATGCCTCTTTTTGAAACAGACAAGCGTCAATAATAAATTTGGAGTGGCTACCTCTGGCTACGGAACAAACGTTTGGGTGGTAACATACATGCTTTCTCCGGCGGTGCTCACCCAACTTACTTTTAATTAACACTTGCTTGAGCATCATAGTCTAAAACCGGAAAAAAAGTAGTTAAATATTAAAAAAAAAATTTTCAAAAAGAAGACAGCGTCGTATGGAAATGGAACTTAATAGCTTTCGATTGAATTGTTGCCCTCTACTGTCGAGACTTATAGAAGTTAGCACAACTAGCCTAGAATTCAGTGGTAGTACTTTCATGTGAATGTTCATCCTCTTAAGGAATTCAAGAAACTTGAAAGTTAGTCTGGCCACCTGATTAGTCAGCATAAGAAACAATACGATATGGCGATGGCATTGATAAATAACTTTAGATTGAGTGGTCAAAAATAACGCATCCAGAAGCTAAAAAGACTTAGCTACCGGATTGTTTTTGCTATCAAAGTCTCTGGAATTCAAACTAGCAACATATTTTTACTTACGAAAGCTTGACAATAGATCTTCTGGGTTAGAAACCAATTTGAGTTCAGTAAAATCGTTTTTCTTCCTTCTTTTCTTTTGTATCTTTTTCCTGGGCTAATTTTCACTCAAAAATGTTACCACATCAAAACGAACAATATCTGTTACTAAAGCTGTTACTGGAAGCTCGTAATCAGTACAACGATACGAGAATTCTGATACAGTAGCCAAAGCGTCGCATAAGAGTATTTATATACTAAGGTTTTAACATAAATCTGATAGCCAATGTGTCGCATCTAGTGAAACAAAGAATGTTCAATACTTGATAATTACTCAGCTAAGTTAATTTACTCACATCTTGTTAACGTACCCAGGAAATCTCAGAATAATTGTTGACAGAGGTAAACGAAGGAGAAGACTGAACGAAGAATTTATAACAAACTTCATGACTTTTTTTCGGTGCTTCAGATCCGTCACGCATCTCGTCTTCCAACGTTTTGTTTGTAATCAACACCGTACTTTGGTCTTAGTTATATAGAGTCCATATTCTATATTCTCCAGATCTAACTTAAGAATCTCCTATTTTAGTATAGCAAAAAAAGAAATAACATTCAATTTCTGTCCTGGGTAACCTTTAGTTGACAGCATTTCTATAGTAAAACCACTTTATTTGGAATAATTTTAACAGACAAAGGTTACTTTGTAATTGACACAATCGACAGTCACGCGCGCACACGAGGATATTAGTGAAGCGATATTTTTGGTGCCATCTGCTTCACTGGACTGACGTCACCGGAAGTAGTTTAACTAGCTTACGATTACACCGTACTGGGAAGGGGAGGAAACTCTTAATTATAAACAAGTAGACGATGTTAATTTATACTTTAGGCTGTTGAAAGATTCATCGTGAAGTGGGCGCGATGATGGCGTATTTTTCGGACGATTGTTTTTCATGTTTTACAATGGAATCATATGTACATATTGTGGGGTTAACCCACTGAGTTGAGTCATCAATGCATGTCTAAATATAGACGTATTTTGCTGGCCGGCTAATTGGGTGTCGATTTCTAATACTTATCTGCTTAATCTAAGTTATAACAACAAGGATTCAATAAAAGACCCACATAGAACCTCGTCAAAATTGTTAACATAGCTTTTATTTTAACGACATGTATAAATTATAATAGCTGATAAAATGGTGACTTCAATGGATGAAGTCAATTCTTTATTCGAATGGCGGTTATATTGGAAATAGGGTATCAGTGAGGAAATGCATTCTTGGCATATTCGGTTTGTGGTTATTCATTCAGGTTTTCGAAAGTGAAATTCAACTGACCACGGAAAATCGAAGCAATATGTGACTTCGAGTTTAACTTAACTGCTGAGCTGTCATATAATGTAAATTTACGAGCCTCTCTTTCATATCAGTGTTACCTTTTATAGACTCCTTGGGCAATATCTTGACTGAAGTAAACAATATCTTTGTGTGTTCCTAAAATAGGTTAACCCTTGAACATATCCGACGTCCTGTGACACGAGGGCGGGGTGTTCTGTAAAACGCGTGACCGCAAAACTTGAGTATTTAATGAAAAGACAATTTCAGTTTCGACAGACGAGCCGACCAGCCGACCGTTGCATCTCGTAAGGTCACTATTTACAGCTATTGCTATGGAGTTTCGCCAACACAAAGTGAATCTGTCCTTTTCGATTGAAAATATTCTACGAGAAGATTTTCCTCATCGGCAAAGAACCCACGTCGCAAATCTGCCAACGGTCAGAGAATCTTGCTTGGAGAGATGGGGTACCATGCCATTTTATCAGTGTTACACGGTTCGTTACAGCCCTATTTTTGTGAAACGTCTGCCAGACATGTATAAAGGTGAGGGAAGATTGCATCGAGTAAATAGAGAGAAAGAACAAATTCTACCCGAGCAAGAGAAAAAGATCGACGACCATTGTCTAAGCTGCAAAGACGAAGCTCTCCATCACAGCAGCGGTAAGCATTTAATCACAATTTTAATTTAGAAATTTATTCAGGCGAATCGCTATTAAAATTGAAGAAATAATTGGAAAAAAAAATGGTAATTGGTAGAAAATTTCCAAATCCGGCCAAATTTTACGCTTGCCGTTATACCAGAATCGATTATCGTTATGGTACGCCATGGTTATTTAGCGCTCTGTGTGCTGGCTGGGTCAAAATTTGAAACATAAATTTTAATTTGTTTTAGATCGGTGGTTGCATGAAATTTGTCGATGACGGAATTGTAAACTATCTATTGTTTTTGGAGGGTTTCGAATTCATGCCCTAACTTGCATTTTTGAGGCACGTACGCGGAAAACTTTCACATAACAAGTTGAAAAACTTCCAAATATCGTTCGCATGGCAACTTTATCGCGGCTGAAAGTCGTTTCCGTTTTTTTCAAAAATCGCTGCTACGAAATAATACCTAAATTGAAAGGAAGTACAAATGTTTACGTTGACGGGAGTATAATTTTTTTCTTCCTTCCATTTCGTTAAAAAAAATGTAGGCTATTTGCAAATGGATTATTAGAATCAAACGGATACAGGGGTTTGAGTGTCAGCTTGTAAGGGTCACTTTATAATTTGATAATGCTAATAGTTTAAATGAATGTGGAAAATATCTCTTTACAGCCAAATGTGTACTTCTAAAAATACTTGAAGGCATTGTGGCCTTACGAGTTAAGTACAAAGTGCTTTGAGTCATGTAGTATTGATGATCAACGCTGTTTCGAAGAGATCACATTTTTTTTTTTCTTGACTAGACACGCAAGGAAATTACTTCAAATTCTTCGCTGGGAAAACTTTTATAGCGATAAAATGTTCCTGGATACACCAAACAATAAGTTTATAAATAATTATACGAACATTTTGGCGTAAAACACACAAGTTCAAGACATGATGACTACAGATATTGAAATTCCTTAAAATATAACTTCATGACATTTATCTAAAGTGCATTAGGGATATAAATGCGCAAATTATTTTTGCTAGTTGAGTTGAGCTTGATGGTTATAAAGGTTTCCTGCTTCAGCTGTGTGTCTCTGACACGCGCCAATAGTTAAGGTAGTCATCTTTTTAAGGGAGTCATTTTGCTATATCTTTCTTAAATATATTTTACAAATACTGGATTCGACGAAAGAATTGAAAATAATCAGTGATGTCTTTGTCATTTAATGTATCTTGTATTCGATAGCAATTTTGTCAATTTTGTTTCCGTGAGTGTCTCGAATGTTTATGTAATACATAAGGGCCAGTGTTGGCGACACTACACACTACATATCTGCTCTAAATCATTACAATATCCAGCGATAATATGTGACCCAGTGACAACAAACTGATATTTTTGTACTTAGATATTGAACATTGAGAAGTCACTGCATGTCCTTTATTTTTGCATTCGTAAGCTCGAGCTTCGCACAAAAATTAAAAGGTATAATTCTAGCCACGGTACGTTTGAGCGCACCCAGGGCAAAAGCAAACCTCATAAATAGCCTGACTTTGCGACTGCGTGTACTTTGGAATGGAGTGATTCTGTTATATTACTTATTTCGGTTTCAAACAAGAGCTTTGAGTGTTTGTTTGGCTAAATAGCGGCTTTTGAGAACCCATTTATCCGGTTTAGCTATACGATCTATAAAAGTTCGTTATAAGGTTCGTGCTAAATTGCACATTCAGAACAATTAAGCGACTTTTTTTTTACAAATGAATTCAACTGCAATCAATGGCTATATACAAAGTGAAGGGAACTATAAAATCATTTACATCACGTAGCTAACGCAGTGCAATGTACTTCATTCGTTTCTAACAGCTTTTTTTTTTAAATAATAAGTGCTATTTTGCTAATTAGAATCTAGAATTCTTTCTTGGCAACTGACGCGGCTTACATTACCTTTAAACAAGTGTATTTTAGAGCAGACTTTAGTATATGATCAGAAAAGCTACTTTAAATTGTTCCAGTTATTCCACCTGTATGTCTTCGCGGTGGTTTTAAATCGCGTTATTTTTTCATGTTCAGGTTCATTTCGCATATTTTTCCCTCTTGCAAATGTGCAAAATTCCTTCAATATTTGTTTCCGTGACATAGCTGTTTGTCAAGACTTTGCTTGGAATTGAACGTGGGCTACACTCGATCAAGTATTGCACTGCGAGCGCCAGTCGCCTATCTCGCTCTAAGATTAATAGTGCGTCATATTGAATTAACTTACATTGTCTATCACGAGAGCAGATTAACGCAGTTACGCTTGAACCTTTTTCTGGTTTCCAGCTCATAAAAAGACTTGAGATCAACAAATAAAAGCCTTGAATCAAAACTAATTCGCCATGTTGACATCTTGAACTCGTTTTTTCTTGCATCGTGATGAACAAAGGACTGAAAAACAACATTAATTATGAATAAGAGTATTATATTGAAGCAGTTAAAATTCAATATCACGAAAACATATCAACAACAACTTTTGGTGCACGCCTTAATATACTGAAGAGTTGATTAAAGTGTTAAGTGAAACTATCCTCCTCAATGGAAATCTATCCGTTAGACTGATCTCTCTTCTTTTAATTAATTTTCAGATGAAATCAGCGACAAAGAGGTTAAAAAGTCAGAAACGTGTGTCGTGGACAAAGTTCCAAAACGGAAGCGGCGAAATCGCAGCCATTTCACCCAGCGTCAACTCCAATATCTGGAGAAGATATTTTCCCGCCAACAGTATCTGACACGCGACGAGCGCACGCTATTGGCGAGAGGCCTGGAAATGACTGAACTTCAGATCAGAAACTGGTTTCAAAACCAGCGATACCAAAAGAAGCATCGCGCTAACGAGAACGCGAAACAAACTGAGCCAGATTCTCCAGTGTCCGTGAAAAGTGAAGTGTAATTTTATCCCGGCTTCCAGCAAATGTCTCGCTAAAATGAATACGACAGTTATCCTGGTACGGTCGGTGACAGCCATAAGCTCAATTTACTTGAGGAATATTTTCGACAACGCCAGCACTCCATTCATATCGAATTTTTCTATTTATCAAAGTCTCTTATATTGTGAAACGTTCTGCTGGCATCACAGAGTAGAAGTTGTGTATCTGATACAAAAATCAGTTACGAATCGTAAAACTATAAATTATAAACAAGAGTATTTTTTGTGTTGCCGTAGTTGATAACTCATACGCTTTAAAAGTTAATTTATTAAATGTACGTACGTGTATTGAATTGTCAATCTGATCAACTGAAGTGGACAGTTATGGTTGCAAAATTTATCGTTGGATACAAATTTAACAAAGAAGACACAGAGGACAAGATGACAGTCGAGGATTTTCCATGTGAACATAGTTAGGAAATTCAATTTACTAAAAAACAGTTTATCTTAGGCCCTGTCCACACTAAGGTGATTGCTGCTTTTTCAAAATTCTCGGTGTAGTGTGGACGGGAGATAATTGATGCGTTTTCAGAAAAAAAACCTCCGTCTTCTAATTTCTCTGGCGTAGTGTGGCCGGGATAGCCTCGTGTAACTTATACGGTCCGTACACGGTCGGACAAACATGTTATTAATTAAAGTTTATTTAATCTATTTTGCGTACAATGCTTGTCGTGGGCACTGTTGACGACTAAACATGAATATAAAGGAAAACATCCCAGCCTTCAACTCCGACCCCTACCTTTCCAATCTAATGAGCCAAACAGTTTATCCGATCCCTTTTTAGTTAATGTCAGCACTTCCGAAATTGCTTAGGAAATGTACTTGTCTAAGGGTTTCTCAGGTCCCCAGTTTAATCCAATTAAGACTTAAGCAATAACATTTTCACAGCACATCACGCTATTGTCACTATCGGCTTGTCAATAACCTTAGTTCATCTCTTTTAATTGGCGGGCTTTATAATTCGAAAAGTAGCGCATATATTACGTGGAGGTCCTGTGCTAAACAGAATAGCGCCTTGGCTGTATATCTTGAAGTTTCGATTCATCCCAGGAGGGGTACTCCCGAAAAAAATTGGGCGGGGGTGTGTGGCCCGCTGAAAACCCTTTTCCTATTTAAGACCAAGATATGCGATTTTCCCTACCCTACTTATAACCTGAACAAATATTCGATACTTACTATGTAAGACCTGAGCCTTAAATCAATACCCTGTTTCAGACCTGCTTCATAATTAGTTTATATGCTTTGGTTAGGTAGGATAGCTTCTTCTACAAAAAACATACACAATTCAAGACCGGAGAGCAAAAGCCATACCCTATTTGAGACAAAAATGGTCGAAATCGATACCCCATTTCTGACCAAAACAGCAAATAAACCATAATCTTTGGGGCCACACATACCTAGATAGACCTTATAACGAAATATCCCCCAGGGCAATTCAGCCTTGGCGGCCCCTAGACAATTCGGTAATGAATTCCCCGCTGTCTGTGGAATGTATAGTTATACAGAATAAAGGAAGTCCGAGAACATTGAGGCGATAACTTACTTAGTCCAGGCTTTTATCTTATATTACAGAAAGGCTCAATTAAAAAAACAAATATAAAGCTCAGTGAATACTGACATTTGAGGTGCTATGGAAATACGAAGCAAACTGATAAAGAAGACAGAATATTAAACTTAACGAAAAATGATTGACATTTGAGATGTGCAAGTTTTGACCAAAGTTACAAAAACCTGCTTAATAGGCCAGGCTGCTCTGTGAATTTCAGCACCCAATTCTCTTGAGCAATCCGCAAGGAATGTAGAGCTGCTGATGCCTTTGTTTCTGACGTGCACTTCTAAATCTGTAAAGAAGTTGCTGTCGATCGGGGAGGGGGGGGAGAAGTGAACTCCCATATGAAAAGGTCGGGGATGTTCTTCGTCGCGCTTTAGGCCGGGGTTAACATGAAGGCGGTATTTTTGGCTGGGTATTATGGTTTTAACGCAAATATCTCGTTCACGTTTCAAGCATTCAAAAATCTCCCTGCTCAACCCACATTTCTATCTACGTTTTGGGCTGTTTTGTAAATTTTTTGGTGATTTTTGGGTATATTTGGGGATAACTAGTTTTTCTCAAAAGATTAGTAACATTTATGGAAATAGTAAATTTTGAAGATTTGATGTTGTTTTAAAATTAGAATTTGAAGTTAAAAATTGGTATACGTACAACAAACAGTTTTCCACCAGCCTGGGGTGCCCTTTCGGGGGTGTTCAACTGTCTGGTGGTGTTCCTAAGCTTTTTCACTTAAANCCCCCCCCCCCCTCTCCCACGCCCTTAAGGGTGTAAATCAAGGATCGAATCATGATTTTTTTTTTTAAGGGGGCAAATAAAGCTCAAGCCACACCCAGATTGTCCTCCTTTAGGGGTTTAATTCAAATTTTCCGACGAGCATCTCCGTCCTTTTCAAAAGGGAGTCCCAACTCCGGGGGGGATGCATGGGGGTTTCCGATAGTATCTGAACACCTCTTGTTAGTCTCTTTTCATGTAAATTATTGAGACTAAGAAAGAAGCGCCTTCAAATCAGTATTTGATAACCTTGAGGTTCACAACAATATAGAAAATAGCCGCTTTCGTTTGAAGATACTTTACGTACACGTTTTGATCCATGATAAGCGTGAAAATGAGACCGTGGTTTACCGCGTTAATTGAAGATTGGGAAACTTTTGTGGCTGTAGAAATTTTATTTGATTTTAAAATGATTATTTATCTGTATCATATAATATAAAGTTAAGGATACATAGCAGAATTTCAAAGAATACTTAAAGTAGAAGCTAGTGGAGTGAAGTGGATTGATCAGGGGCGAAATTGAAGCCATTCCACTCAGCGTCGACACACGATATCTGTACAAGATATTTTCCCGCCAACTACAACTTAACACGCGACGGACGAACGCATTCGAAGAGGGGACTGGAAATGAACGAGTTTCAGCCTTTTTGTTTTCAAAATAGGACATAAGAGAAACGTTATTTAAGACGAGAGAAAAGTTAAACTGACCAGATTTGTCTGTCAATTAACGCGGAAAAGTCGACCGGAGTTATTTAACTCATCGTTACAAGATATGTGATTTGACATATTTGGCGTTTCCGCTTGGGACATAAGATCGCATATCAGTCTTGCTGTTTATACCACTTGTAACACTTTTTATTAAGACGTTTAACTACAAAGAATTTTCTTTATGGAATTAAGTTAATATCCAAGCATTGTCGTTGTCTTTCAAGTCTCAAAAATCTGCATTTAAGTACAGTTAAGATGAAATTTCCGGGCGCCTTTTTGCATGCATGTACAAAGATAAACTTCACAAGTGAGCAGTTGAGTTATCGCTAATGAACAATCTCATCAATTTATAATTGGCTTTTGATTATCCAATCTATTGATAATCATCAATCCAAGAAGGAATGCAAGGCATATTAATAAAACCACAACATATATATTTTCAATCGATATACTGTACTAGAATTTCAGTCAAATATAAGACCAAGAATGCCTCTACTCAGGACCTTCGCCCGTTTAATTACCTTTGACTCATTGAGACTTCATTACTTTTTAAGTGACATTGAAGAAGAGTTTCTGAGTATTTGATAATTAAAAACGAGGACGACTATGATCAGGACTGAAGTCGCAATCTCTCCACGCCTAAGAGAAATTTAAATGACGAGAGAGCAAACGTACTCACCGCCGATAAAAAAAAGGTTGATGTTTGTAACACTGGCGATATTAATATGCAACTCAAAGATGAACCACTCAGCTTTGAANAAAAAAAAAAAAAAAAAAGAAAAAAAAAAGTCTAGAACAGATACAGATATTCTAAGCATAGAATACTAGAATTATGTACTGAGGTTTTAAAAGGAGCAAACTGCATTTGCTATTTTGAGCATTTTACTGTCGTTGCATGTTGTTGCTCCTGTCGAAGTGTAGATAACATCAAAGTAAACATCCTTAACTAACTAAACACTTGGAACAGAAAAGCCAGCTGGCGCCGATTCGGAAGTACTAAATTCTTAGCCCGTCTCCACTGCAAACATCAACTGGCTTTCGCTAGTTATAGTCCTTTCTAGAGAAATTGAAAAAAAAAAAACCGACTTTACACGACTAATAAACACCGACTTGTCACGTCTGCAGAGAGAGCGTTCGTTTGCCTTTTCCTGTTCAAGTAATTGTTTAAAAAATGTCTACGTGCCCTTTTTCAATTGCGTGAAAACATTTGCGTGACGGGAAAACCAAACAGAAGTAAAATGAATGGCATGTGATACGAGAATGACGTCATGTACGCAGCCCCGAATTGACACCCCTTCTCCTGCTCGTTGACCTCTCTTGTATTCTTTAATTCCAGATTTTTTTCGTTCCAGTAAAGGCACAAGAGATATTTCCTTTGTTCTTTTGGACAGATGTTTCCATAAGCAGACTTCAAAATTCTATAGAATCTACCCCACTTCCTGGTTGCAACCTCCTCTTTAAACAAAGGACGCTCTTTTTCTGTGGAGGCCTAAGAAAGGATCTAACTCTTTTTGCTGTTGTGGTAAATTTTCTGTCGCTATAAATTTTAAATGCGGTCAGTATTACACGCTCATGACAGTGTGGTTACCGCTTTGTCTTTCAACTGTGGTCAATATACATTGTTATCTTAACAATGTTGGCAAAACCTTTTTGGTTGCGGTGAGGCGCTTGCAAAACGGGGAAGGGCGCTTAAATCCTGGGTGGGTGCTAATCCGAAGATACGTGGCGCTAACTACGGAAACTATAAACTAAATTGATTTTGGTTTTATATCAAAATATTTACCAGACTTCGAACCACTAAAATTAACTCTATGCATGCTTTTTCGATTTTGCGTCAGCGAAAACACAGATGCTTGAATAGAACGTAGGTAAAAATGTGGGTAGTGTAGTGTAGTGTGCTTGTTTTACGAACGTGCAAATCGATTACTAGGGGTAAAAGACTTCAAGATAAAATTGCTTTAACTAATTAGCCGTTGCTGGGATCTTCAAAAAGACCATTTGAAGTGCTTATGAGTGTGCGCAAATCCGCTTTAAGATAGGTGCCTTCGGGCTTACAGAAAATTAAAGATCACCTCTGAGACCAACTTAGTGCATTACTTGATCTTCTGACTATGTCTCTGTAAAGGTATTACAGAATGGGGCACAGTATTTATCAACACAGATATTTACAACATCTTTCAAAAGACATCATGACGTGCTCTGAAATTCAGCGGAAGTATGTGTGTTGACGTTCTACATTTCCGAAAACACAATAACGAGGAGAGATAAGAGGAGAGCCAACGGATTATTGGAAAACAATTTTCCGATAACAAACCACGCTCGTGGTAATTTGACTAATGATCAGGGACAGCAGCGTAAAACAGAACAGTCCGGTTAAATTTGAATTCAAAGTCGCGTGTTTTTGAAAGTTGCTGCAATTAAGTTATATTGCTTTGTTTTTGTTCAAACGAGCATTCAACTGATCGAGTAGCTCTAATTACTGATAATTTTCTTCCGTCACTCGGCAGCTGGTTGAAGAATTTGTCGTCAAAAAGACACAAAAAGAGTGTTTCCGAAGCACAATCTTCACAATTTCAGTTTGTCCTATATATACTACATACCAAACGTCTTAAATGAACTTATATAAATAGATGTCTTTTGACCTCCATCCATGGTCTCCTTTTTCCTGTTTCTATTCTTATCTCTACCCCATTCCATAACACGCCTTTTGTCGAGGGTATTACAGTTCTTTTTCAGTTCTTTGGTCTAAATGTGTCAGTTCGTTTCTTTTCCGAGACAAACATTACGTACCGAATGAAAATATAGTTCATTTATTTAAAAACTGTTTTGGCTAGTTGATTGTTGCCTGAATTTGGAATTGATACTGGGGCTTAATAACAAGTAACGCGTGCACAATATATATCTAATGAATCTACGAGACAAAGTACATTCTGCTGTTTTGTTATAACGCTTTTTTTTATTTTTTGACCGTATAAACAGTTATCAGAGTAAAATAAAATTACGCTTAATTTATTTGAAATTCTTTGTATACGCACTTTGATTTGAATTTGAAATATGATGAAAAATTTGTTGCATGAAGCCATCTTTGTAACGTACAGAATTATTTTAGGACTTCAAAATGATGATTTAATAATAACATAAAATTCTTTTAATACTTGCGAGTTCCCCTTTGAGATTTTATTCCTTAGTAAATACAACTTTCAACTCGCTTATTATAAAACGCAATAAAGATCTTTATCCAATAGCTTTTAAGCAATCATACGTTGTCGTGAATAGACTAACCAGGTAGATAACAAAACTATAAAACACAGAACTGAGATATTTGATATATTAAATTAGTTAAGTTTGATATGTGACGTACAAACCTATGTTTTTAAGCTCTTAATCTACGGATCTTTTCTTGTTGTTTTCGACCTTATATCTAACTCATTAAAGGAACAAGACAACCCGAGTTTACTATTCTGAACAATTCTATATCAATTAATGAGATATTTACAGTATGTACAGCAGCATTCAGAGAGCGCTACCATATAAAATTTAAGTATAAATACGTTATAAATTATTTTTCTCAACTCTTTTTAACGAACCTCCTTTAAGTTGCAATTGTTAAGTGTTTTTGTTTTTCTTGGCGTTTGTTCTCTTTAGTCCAAGTTTTTCGTTGCCTTTTCATATTGCTATTGATGTAACCGGTTCATCTTGTTTTCGTTCTTCATTGGCGCGATGTCTTTTCTGGTATCGTCTGTTTTGAAACCAGTTTCTGATCTGAAGTTCCGTCATTTCCAGGCCTCTTGCCAATAGCGTGCGCTCGTCGCGTGTTAGATACTGTTGGCGGGAAAATATCTTGTCCAGATATTGGAGTTGACGCTGGGTGAAATGACTGCGATTTCGCCTTTTCCGCTTAGGACCATTTTCACTGAAGCACTTAACCGATTTCGATTCCTTCTTAAAATCTTTGTCGTCAACTTCATCTGAAGATAAAACAAGACAAAAACGTACTTAAGTTTACGTACATCCGGTTTTATATACTATTTAGAATGTGTCAGTGAGATTTGAGCCAAAACGACAGGGTTATAATCCATTTGTTGTCGTGATGACTAGCTTAACCTGATTCAATATAACACACGTATTTTAGATAAAGTAGAACTGTGATATAAATGTTGCGCTTCACAGCTCAGCTCATGTAACATCGATAGCTATCTGCAAGCCGCACAAGGGTCATATTAGTGCTCATCTTAAACATCTTAACAGACCTAAATCGCTTTTCAAATCTTCACGCAAAAACGGAATCACGTCCATAAAATCTAAAAATCTATGGCAGCTATCCTGATGCCATTCAGATCAAGGTGTATAAACACAATGAAGAAAAAAGCCTTGTCCTTCTTTTATGTCAGTAAGACTAATACACAACGCAAAAAATACGTAAACTTGTTTTTCTTTTTTATATTCTATTGTCTGACTTTGCAAGTTAATTTTGGAACATGTTTATCTTTGCAATAATCTTAAGTGAATTACAGAATGTTCGGATGCTTTACAATATTGGCAGCTTGACCTCTCTCTCTTTATTTAATTTCAGTTTTGTTTTTTGACATAATAACTAAGTTAGACGTTTATTAGAAAAACTGTTAATCTCATTTTCGATCAGTTTGTGGACATGCTTTTAGTCCTATCTGACGTCACGATTTAACAGATGCGAGATATACAAGCACATTGTTAAAGAATTATACTGTTGAAGCTCAAACCCGCTGAATGTGTTCTCGAAAGTCACTATTCAACCAAACAAACACTTAAGCCTCTTTAAAGCGAGCAAATATACATAATGAAGCATCTCCACGCTCAAATTATTTTTATCGTCGAAACGTCACACACATACAGACGCCCAACTGTACAATAGCTGACATGGATGTTAGTTCACCACCCTTTAAAAGCTCCATGAATTGATTCCCTTAAGGTCAAAGTCGTGGCATAAGAAACCATTATAGCTTGAAGTCCTATAGACAGTCGATTGCATGAAGACAAACTTCGGCCAATGAGAGATCAATATTCAAATACACGAATACTGGTTTATTGTTCATTAAGTCACGGTATTTTTGAAGATATTGCAAGGCGGACTTCTGGTGTCGCCAGCTCTTTTTAAACTGGTCACGCCCCGGTATTAGAAACAAGTGAAGCACACACGAAACAAAAGTATGTTACAAAACTTCAATTTATGCCACGAGAGCCGACAGCAAAGAGACTTTATGTTTAGCGTGGATTCAGTATGCAATAGAATATGTTTATAATCATTTCATTTTCTTACACTTACAGAGTAACAAAGAGAGACTTTATAGGTAATAGCGAGTAAATTTTACTTTCTTATGTCAAAGAAAAATGATTTTTTTTTTTGTGGGTGAAACTTAGAAAATGCATGCCCACGGGCTTGGAAATTCGGATCTTTATCAGTTGGGCTAGTAATGACTCATTTGAATCAACTCTACTAAACCTTGCAAACTAATTCGGATAAATAGGCCAAGCAAATATATTGATATCAAAAAGAAAGTTGGATTGATTCCACAATTTACGCTGAATAACAATAATCAGGCCAAACGTTGTTACTTTTCTTCACGAGCGAGTATTGTGCAGCCACCAAGAAAAAACAACTTTGTCGTCTACTAGTTTTCCGTTGCAGCGATCTTCAATATTATTTTTCAGACCTTTCGAAACTCGCTTGAAAAATGAAATGTCTTACGTGTCTTAGAAGGAAAATCCTCGATAAAAGAAGGTAGGTTCCTTGGGAAAGAATGAAATGCTTTTTTTCCCTTTATCTGCTTGTATCAAAATCCCTCTAATCGCCACTCATACAAAATTCAATTTAGTTTGAATATATTATCAAATAAACAAGGCACGGAGGACGAGGTATAAAATAATATGTTTAACTACTTTATAAATTTAAGACCATGTTTTTCTCTCCTCCAGATAAATTTTCAGTTGTCGCCAAAACGAGTCATAAAGCCATATAAACTGAAAAAAGCTTTTCTTTCAAAAAGGGATTTTGAAGCTCAGTGAAAAATTGTCATTTTCTAGAAATACTGCCAAGTCGGGGTTTAATAACATTAAAATTCTTACCATTTTTGTTCTGAATTTCTTCACCTTTACAGCTTAAGCTGTCTTCTTCAATGGCTTTCGTCTGTTCCCTGAAAAACTGGTCTTTCCCGCCGCTTGTTTTGCGTAATCTTCCTTCAACTGCATGCATATTAGGCGCACAGTTTAAATACACAGGGCTGTAACGAACCGCGCAACATTGGTAAACTGCGGGGTTTGTCGGCCACCGTTCAAAGCCTGCTTCGTCCCCGGCTGTGTGAAAACTCACAAAGTCTGTTCTTCGTCTATGCCGAGCAAAATCGTCTCGCAAAATATTTTCAATCGAAAACGAGAGATTAACTTTCTGTCCGTGAAAATCCATTTTGGTTGATAGCAGTTTCTGACCTTACGATATTCAACCTCTGACCAAACTGAAAGTGGTTTCGCTTAAATACACAACTTTTGTAGTCATGAGTATTTAAAGAAACCGCCCCCTTAAGCTGTCGGGACATGCATGCTAAAGACTGTAAAGTGTTTGGCTATTTTTGGAACTCATATATATTGTATATTCACCTGGCAAAGAAAATCAGTAAAGCTTGAAAACAACACTGTTACCGAGGCACACGAGAATTGAAGTAACTTTTTGTTGCAAAGCTAAAAGACGCTAGTGACGAAAACGGAGTGACGCTTGCATAGGGTGGGTGTCCCGTTCATCCACCGCTTCCTCGATCGACAAAACGGATTAAGTCATATTGTGTTGTTTTCTTCAGCATTAAAGTTGTTTCCGTGATTTTCAGTGATGTGCTTACAAGAATTCAGAGTGAAGAGACCACAAACAGAAAACACCAAGGATGCGTTTCCTTGACATCCCGGTCTTAAGTCACGAAAAGTGAAGTTATGGTGAAGAAATATCGATCACGGCTACTAATTTTTCTCTTCTTGTGTCAAATAATTGAACTATGCTAAGCCGTATTGCGGTATTTTCTAGAGAATACCACCCAAATTGTCAGCTTTGTGACTCGGCCTCATATCTGCCGAGAATGAATGCGCTTAGCGGTATAGTGCATTACACGGTTTGGGCTAGGGACCAAAGACGTATCTTGTTTCACACATTCAGTATACCGAAAAACAAGCTCTTTTAAAGACTTTTAAAACTATAATCATTATGTCGACATTTTAAAAGGCGTTTACATCGTTTTGAAAGGATAGAATTCTATTTACTTCCGGCATTAAACCTAAAAATGCAATTTGGCCAAAAATATCGTTGTACTGTTTAAAAATCGGTGTATTGAAATTCGCACGCGCGACCAAACTCGTTCGGAAGGCTTTGTTTGTGATGAGTTTACTCGAAAATTTCAGAAATGTTGTTTTTTAGTGCAGTTGAAAAAGGTATGTTCAGTTTAACTTACAGGATAACAAAGTGAGACTTAATAGCTAGCGAGTAAATTTAACTTTCTTCTGTTAAAGAAAGAAAGTAAGTAAGTTGTTGTAGTTGAAACTGTGAAAGTATATGGCCTGGGATCTCGCAACTCTGTGAAGATGCGAGACGAACTCGTGCGGAAAGCCTTAATTTGTTTGTCTTAAGTTTACTCAAAAATTTCAGAAATGTTAGTTTTATGAAATTGAAACGAAATACTGTCTTTTGTTTAACATGGCTTAAGAATTGATTTCTGTCTAGACATCGTTACCCAACTGGTTTATGAACATAAAAGGTCTTGTTTTCCGATCCATTTATTTTGCTTTTCAAAATTTGGTTTCGCTACTCATTTTACTGTAAGCAGGAATGTGAAGGAGATATTAAAGGCATTTTATATCATAGTCCATACTTATAGACTCAAAAGGATATAACAAGGTTATTCTAACTGAAAAAGACAATAACTGATTCTTCTTTTTAATAATTACACTCTACTTTTTCGACTTGAAGTGTTTTTTTTCAATTCCACAGTATAAAAATAGCCCTCTAGAATACTAATGTGTGAAAGGATTTATGAATGAAATGACAATGGCGTTGTCAACAGACGCGGAAAAAATCCAAACTATTTAGTCCAACATCACAGGCGTTCAATGTTAAGTTCGGGAGAGATATAAGTTCCTTGAACATTATTAGAAATATTATTCCACAAATGCTGAACTTAAGATCAGACTGAATTAAAAGTGGGTATAATTTTTGCCAAACCAAACAGGTTGACATACTAGCCAGTTTTATATCCCTGCATGTGGCCACTGTTCTTGAATCTTAAGGGAGTATCTTCCAAAAACAGCCACACCTTGCCATGCGTGTCATTTCAGAAGATTCCAAGTTCATACTAAGTTTAAAAAGTTCCCGTTTTTGTTAACGATTGATACAAGAGTTGCAATACAGGCTGGTAATATACAGCTTTCACTTCAGTGGTCTCCTACTAGGGTTTTATTCACCTGAGAATTGCATTTTATCAATATTTTGCGTAATAAACAGTATCGTACAGAAGTACTTTCCAGTAGCTTTCATTTGAATGGTCACACAACTGAACTCAGTAGGGGTTCATGCACATACTAAAAAGGTTAGAACCACAGTATCACACGTGAAAATTCTGCTGAATAGCTTTCATTTCAATGGTAACACATAAGATCTTCATCCACATACTGGACAACTCGAAAAGTTAGAACCATCGTTAACAGCATTATTAACAGTACCACAAGAAAGTACGAATCAATAGCTTTTATTTGAATGGTACCACACAGAGGTTTCATCGAAAAATCAGCACCGCGTAGAAGTTTTGTAAAATACGATGCGCTCGATGTTTCATTTGTATAAGCTATCTAGAAAGATTTGCCAAACTTATCATTTTAACATTTCCTACTTGTCTCTAGTTGCGATACAGCTATTTTCGTATTATCTATTTTCAATTGTGCTGCTTTATAAATAGTTTGAAAGGCCGAGGCGTTTCTAAGGGTGATTCAGAAATGCCTCTTTTAAACGTACTAGAAACTCTTGAAAACTCTTAAGGTTATACTTAACGTGTTGCATCTGAAGTCCTAGTGAAATATAATTCGACTACTGAAATTTATGGCAGCAAAGTATTTCTTTCGTTCAGTGCAGCAGAAGATTAAAAACGATTTAAGCGAGTTTTCTGCAGTTTCAAGTTCCTCTCGACGAGAATTAAAAAAAGCTAAAGCTAATCTTAGGTCATTATGTTATTCTCTCATAGTCGTGCAGATATTCGCCGGTTATCAAGCGCGGTTAACGCTAAAAATAAAAACCCGTACTACATATAATCACAACACCAAATAAACCCTGATCAAACAATCTTACTGGCTTTGACACATTCGCGAGGAAGAAGTTTATGGTACTTAAATTAAAGTTTGTAAGTAGACGCTTGATTAATTGATCTGTGTCAAGAAAACCTTAAGAATTTAATGGCAACGAAGACTGCGCCTGAATGTACACTCTAACACTTTTTCCTCAAGTGTAATAGGTAGCTAATGAACTCTTTTAAAACACTTAAAATATTTTCGAAATTATGTTAGGGGAGGGCTGTGAATTCCTAAGAATGAGAGGAAGTTGATGACTCATGAGTGCTGGTAATTACTGGGGTATTGCCACTAGGGGTATTACAGCCACTCCCCTGGGATGTGATCGCAGCCCACAACAAGCCGGTTATTTCCCGGTATTGTTCAGGGGGGTTTCCCTAACTCAAGAGGGACTTAAGCAAGTAACTGCACATGTAGCATCACTAACTAAAACGTCGGTAAATCGAAATTACAATAGACTGCGCGTGCGTTGTACATGTGGGTACATTCTTAGTCGTTCTCTTCACAAAACAGCGAAATGTAAAGACCGCGTAGAAATTCTGCGTTACGCGAAAAGTTCGGAAGCTTAACAGCATCTAAAATTACGTGTTCTGATATTAGATCGTCCCGAAGCTTTCCCCATACAATGTATAGACCCTAGCTAATCACGAGAGATTTTCGAAAAAGTATTGACCAATTTATTTTTTAATCCATGCAAGTCCTGTTGAAAATTCTAGGTAAAGATACTGTTCCTCGCCTAAACGTCTTTAAAACTGCATTCTTACATTACGGTGATTACAACGTGTACCAGTATAAAGTAGATTCCCCTCTAAATCTCGTGGCGTGTGTCAAGTCACCTTTATCGATTATTAAACAGATAACCTTTTAGCCAAAAAAATGGTAAAAGGTATGCCTATCATACAATTTTAACGTGCTTTTTGTTTTAAAGGGCCGCGAGAAATAGTCGAATAATTTTATATATGGCTTGACTGAGCCGAGTTCAATTTTGGGTCTCAAACATTAAAGAAAAACAAAACAAAAAACAAAAATAGCCAGTGTCATGGATAAGAGCCGAGGGATTTGACTTGGGTCCTCTGGAACACAAGACTATAAGAACCCGAAACCTCTCCGCCTGTCTCACCTTCCTTCAAATTACAAAATAACGATCTAGACACGCACCGGCAAATAGCGAAGGGCAGAAATATCTTGCATGCCAAGGTCAACCTGTAGTACAATACTGTCAATTTGCTGTTGATCAGCTTTCCGCAAGACGTTTAGACTACGAGTAGTCCCTCTTTCGCTTAGTTCATCTAGCGCTGAGACCATTTTTTCTCGCGGTTTTCTCTCGCGTCACACACGACGAACTAAGCGAAAGAGGGACCACTCGTGGTCTACAATATGTTTTGCATTTTCCTGTTTACATTTATAAACAAAAATAAATGTTTGAAGTCTCATTTTAACTAGTGTCTCTTTTTTTATTAAATACCCATTCAAATTATTTTTGCTATAACTATATATCTTTCGTTATTTACACGTATATGGTTGTTATGCTTCTCAAGTTTTAAAAATAACGGTTTGACCAATACTATATGTTCGTCTTTTTCGTCAACAAAATCAACCAACACCATCAATTATATCCTGCTCCAGCTTATAAATAGCATAATAAATAATTTTATAATAGAAAACTGAAACCCTCGAATGCGTTTTCATTTTTAGTTCAACATTTTAGTTTCTTTCTTTCTTTTTTTTTTTTTTTAACTCAGCACAAGTCTTCCTGATTACAACGTTTTTTTCTTGTAGTCGCCACACATGTCGATTACACTGTCATCCTGATATTTCGTTTCTAGCCGGCTAAGAACGAATCGTTTTTGGAGGAGCCAGCTCTATCACGTGACCCTTCGTACATCCAACTTGCTTTTTCCTGTTTATTTTACAAAACATTTTGTTTTTCAGTTTGCACTTTTTTAAACCCTTGCTAATTTAGACAGTTTTAGTCTTCGCTTTTCAAGCAAGCCGGCTCATCCTGTTTGGTACTCTTTGTGGCGCAATGCTTTTTCTGGTATCGCCTGTTCTGAAACCAGTTTCTGATCTGAAGTTCAGTCATTTCCAGGCCCCTCGCCAATAACGTGCGCTCGTCGCGTGTCAGATACTGTTGGCGGGAAAATATCTTGTCCAGATATTGGAGTTGACGCTGGGTGAAATGGCTGCGATTTCGCCGCTTTCGTTTTAAAGTGTTTACTTTCAAGCACTTTTCTGTTTTGGCTTCCACTTCAGCCTGTTCGTTCTTGCTTTCATCTGAAAATCAAACATGGCTTACAATAAGTAACACTGAATTGATAAGTTCTGTTAGATCCAAGACCATAAAACTGATAAAAGACGCATTCGTTCTTCGTGATGCCTCATTCCGACTGAAGCAATAACGCGGTCAATTATATTTTCAATAAATAGTACATATCTCGATATAATTGATGCGGTTAAATTGACACTGCTTCGTTATATATTATGATAAAAATTCAGAGCTCATATCAATGATTATTACACGGATTAAGTAAACTCTTCACAAAGTGCTTTTCAATCGTACCGATCACCTTTTTTTGTAAGCGGTATGCCAATAAAATACACAGGTACAAACAAAGAAGGGAAAGGAATGCAGTAAAAAAGGATTAGTAAGAAAGATGCTGATTTTTAAAGGGGGTCCACGTCACATATGTGGTTTTAAGTAGGGTCCTGTAAACCAAAAGCAGCTAGAAGATAAAAGTCTAGAAACGTCTACCATTCTACATTTACAAAGTTAAATTTAAGAATATTCACAAGTCACTCGCGTGATTTGTTATGTGGCGCAGCGTTCGCTCGTTGCATTTCGCTGGTATAACATGCGCAGAACTGTGAACCGTTAGACAGCCAGTGATTTCAGTTAGCTTTTTAAACCGACGAAGACCGATTTTCTTCGGTCGAAACGTCTTTGTATAAGTAGCTATAAACGTTGTTTTAATGTTTTAGTTTAAGAGTCAGTGTCAAACAAAACTTCAAATGTATACCACTTATGTATTAGTACTGATATACAAAACAGAATTAAGAAATACTCATAAGGTGTCTTCTAAAAGTAAATGAAAACTGTACATGTTCTTAATTACATCGATTTAAGCGTCCCGGCCAACCATTAATGGCACAGTAAACAAAACGGTTTTATGTGTAGCGATTACAGCTCTAGAGACAAACACGAAATAAGAAAGCATGCACGTATTACTTTTAACTGACTGATCGTTCATCCGTTCTTCATTTAATATGGATCCCATTGTATAACCTACGCGATTAATTAGATTTGGAATAAACCAACTATAAGCTAGAAGAATCTCAAGATTTTGTTCCTTGTCGTGCGCTGCCAGTTTTGGAACGTAACACAGCCGAGCTGTAGAATAAAATTCATGGTACATGTCGCTGGAGTAGCTGTTGTCAGTCCGAGACAGTGAGTTTTTAAATGACTTGTCGTTCGTTAGAACGCATCAATAGTTGTTATGGAAATATAAGGCTAGAAAAAAGAGGTTTAAAAGCCAGTATAAAGTCTATAAAGCGAAACAACAACTTGAACCTCAATAAACATCACCAACTGCAAGCAGAAAAGAGACACCAAAGGAAACCACAATTAATTTACTATTTTCGTATGATAACGTCAATAACACACCCACGCAGGCAGTCAACCGAGTGGTTTCCCGGGCCAGACGGTGTTTGTTTTTCCTCCAACTTGAAATTTTAGATAATTATGGCTTATTGAGTTCGACGTAAGCCTAAAAGAGTTAAATCAAGGCCATCAAATGAAATTTAACATATATCTAATTACCACAGATAGGAACGATAGTATTTTCATGATGTTTGGTACATGGTCTTGAAGGCAGCTCTCTCTCCTCTGTGGTCAAGCACAAGACGGCAAAAGCACAATTGGCAAACATGGTTTCGTAGTAACAATGACTCTTTTGTTGGCAAGGAAATTAACTCAAAGATTTATCTGTTTGCTTAGAAGAAAACTTGAATGGTAGGAGCTTTAGTTTCAACGCTTCACTTTGAAGTGAAAATTAAAGAGAATCTGAAAGTAAGTGACACTTTAGGAAGTCGCAGCGAAAAGCAGGGAGATACTGAGAAATCAAATCGAGTAGTCGAGCATCAGAGGGGTTCACATTTCCAGACGATTTGTGGTAATTATATAAATTCTTTCTTTAGAAAATTAAAATGGAAAAACAGATAGTGGCTTTTTTCTGTAATGACCTCATGTCATTTACTCGCATTATACAATTAGCCCTCCCACTAAATTTTCATGAGGCTTTGTTGAATTTGCAGAGTCACAAAAATTTGTAATCGCGGACCTTTTCATGATAAAAATATGATTTTTATAATACTTGAGCGAGGCGTTCCAAGAATCCGGGAAATAAAACCCTAAGATTCTGCTTTCATTACGAAAGCAATCTATCTGTAAAGACACACGAGCGAGCTTTTCCGCAATCTGCGTGAATTGACGTGAAAGACCACGCATGATTTAACTTCTGTTATGAGGAATGTATAGAGCCCTAGAAACTGTTGGAGCATTTTTGTCCAAATTCGTCTTAGTTTTTTTTAAACTAGAAAACATGAACTAAATATTTGACTTAGTCAGTTCTAACTACAGTTTTCTAGTTTATGATGATGAAACCATCAGGTGATATGAAGTGATATTTGTACCCATTTGATCAAAACGGGAAATATAACAAATTTGCACACGTGCTTATAAACGGTTGCTTGCCGTGGCGAGTTCTAGCTTAGTAGGAAATTAGTCAATACCTAAGTAGTTTTTGGACTTTTTAATGCACGCTGTCTGTCACGCTTTTTAACTCAAGTTCATATGAGCTGTTTCTAAATAAATACATTACACCATTCTCCTCGGTAATCCTCTAACCATATGATATCTTAATTTGTTGAAAACACCCCAATATGTTGAAAACAAAACAAATTAAGTCTACAAAAATCAAAAAGTTTCAACTCGATCAATGTCTCTTTTATCGCTTAGAATTTTCTCTTATTTATATTATCAGTAAATTTTTTAAAATTTATTATTAAAATACTTACACTCACCCTGAGGGGGCTCGTCATCTTCGCACTTCAAGCATTCTTCTTCAGTGTCTTTAGGCTGTTCTTGAAAGAGCAGTCGTTTGTCTGCATTTACTCTGTGCAATCTTGCGCCAACTCTGTGCAAGCCCGGCAGAAAGTGCATCACCACTGGGCAATAGCGAACCGCACAGTATCGATAAATTGGAGTGACTGGACATCTCTCAAAACTTGACTGGTTCGATGGTATACTTGGAATATTTCTTGGTCGTCGCTGGGAAAAATCGTCTCGTAAAATATTGTCAATCGAAAAAGGCAGACTGGTTTTCTCACTGTGACAATCCATTTGATTTTTTTTGTAATATAATTAAACCGCAGCTCACCCGATGTGACCTTGCTGTTTGCAACCTCTGTTGAAAGTGAAAGGTTTTTCGCTTACACTTGAATTTAATGAGCGTCAGTTTTATTTATAATCCGCGGTCCGCTGAACTCGTCATGATTGGTTGAATGACTCGGCTATTTTTAGGGACAAGAACCTGACCGCAAGTAGTTTGTGCACGACGTTACCAGGGAAATTACATCAAGTTTAATCCATTATTACAGGTAACTTTTCCGGGAATAAACACTCTGCGGGCTTCCCGAGGTTTCAATAACCTCTCCAGCCAATAAATTCAAAGTGCCGTAGCATTTCCGTTGTTACCGCGAAACTGAAAACAGACAAACAGAAATGTCGAGGGTGCATTAATTTAATAAGAAGTGCTATGTCTGCAAGATAAATGACAAGAAATACAGCATTGGAAGCAATTCTTTTTAGGACTGAATACTCCGTTTAAATTGTTAATACAGGTGTTAAGCGGTGGCAAAAATCCCCAAATTACGTAAAATAACCAGTTATGTATTTTGAGTGGGTTGCACGTACAGTCATATTTCAGCTCACAATTCTCCGCGGGCAAGCCCCACTGCTTTTTTTCCATCATCTCTTTAATTACTCAGTTGATAAACATCAATTCTTTAGAAAGAGCTCTCAGACAAAAAAATAACTGGATCAACATGTATCAGGACAATTACCGTGAAATCTTCAGAATGCATTCTTTGCAGGACTCGACGCACTTCCGGTTACGTCAGCGATAATAAAATAACAACACCCTTTGTTTGGCCTCATCGGCCCACGCGCTTGGCGTGGTACGGTAGCGTGACATAAGAACATAAATCGATTTGAAATCACGTTTCCGACGATGAACTGTAACACCAGCATATTTATCTTATGATTCTTTTGCGGAGGTCACGAGAGAGTCACTAGCTTACCTTAAGTGTAGGAGTGGGAGAGCGTGATTCTGCAGAATTCTGTTAACTTTCAGGGTACAATTTTTGATGTCATGCGTAAAATTAAATGCCTTGTCTATGAATTAAATAGTCTTGCAGTGTTCTGTTATGATGATTCAGTGCTTTTCGCGGTTTGTTTTACTTTTATCGGCTCCCGGAAAATCATAAACATGGAGAGAGAGGGCGGGAAGGAAGGAAGAAAGGAAACAGTATGATAAGAATTACACAGCTGTTTACAGCAAATCAAAAACATGGCTTTACAGAATGACTTGTCTCGCCACAATTAACTTGAACTGTGGTACCGTGGCCCTTATGAAGGCAGAAAATTATTGGATTCACAGGATACAAAACATTTCTCCATGTCCGCTTACTGAATTCTCCGCGAATCTCCAACTCGTAAATATACCCCTCTTGCTAAACAAACCGTTAAGACTTATATTGATTTTTCACAACAAACTTCTTTCTTCGAGTAGTTTTTAATTAACAGTGACACATATTGTTAGTCCAGGAAAGGTGTATACCCCCCAAATAATGTACGTTTTTGTTTTCAAGTTGGCTAAATGGTTAATTTTTTCTCATCATATGGTAAGGTAATTCGCCTAGTTTGTGGTTAAATTTTTGAAGAACGTAGCACTTACTTTTGAACGCTGACATTTTAATTGTTGGTACTTGCTTGCATTGTTTACGTTACAGTTTTATTTTAAACTCTAGAAACAATGCCTTTAGCATGAAAAAATCATCATTTCTAAATAAGTAAAATCGTTCTTGAGCCGATTTGAAACACGAGCAACGAAAGATATTTTTCCTGTACGTCATGAGCCACTTGCCTGATGTTCAAAGCTGGCGGAGAAGACGTAAAGGATGGAGCAGTATGGTTAGAAGACTGAAAGATAAAACTCTTAGAAACTTCCTGTGGCCTTTGATCGATTTTAAGGCGTAAACAAACGTAATTGGGATCGCACCCTGACAACAAACAACAAAACAAGTTATTGTTAGGGCAGTGCCATAACATTGGATTAACGGAGAAAGATAGATAGAAATAGATAGAAACTTTGTTAAAGTGTCAGTGCCTTGTAGCCTGGGAAAATCCCATACTAATTTGGGGACACAAAATAAGTAGAAGAAAAAAACAAAAAAATTCAGTGAAAAAATATTTACGGTAAAACTATTTATGAGACTTAGTTCAAAGCGATATCAGTGGGAGTCACATGCAGTGTCACACCGGTGGGGAAAACACGAATCCGTCTTAGATCAGAAAGCCCTTTTGTAGAGTCGTCAACTGAATGTGGTTTACAGCCGTGCTTGCGTTCCATGCTCTGGCAATTACAATTTGCCCTTGCATTCACTTGTTGCTAGCGAAATAAAAGCAGGATTATGTTAGAAAATAATTTCTGGCCATAAAGCTATGCCTGTCGCTCCCTACTTTTCTATCACAATCGATTAACTGACCTGCAGTCTCAATCTACGAAAATTTACTAATAAACTTTAGCTACTACTCTCCATCTTGCTTAAAAGGTGGCTGAATGAAGGAACATGAATGTAATTTAACATTAAACCAAATTTAAGCGCGCTCTCAAATGAATCTACCCAGTAGAGAACAATAGTTTATTGTGTTGATCACGACTGACAAAAACGGCGCTAGTCTGGCACGCCCCATGCGAACCCCAATACTGAAAGGAAGTTTCCTCTCCATATGGGAGCCGATTTCAGGGGAGTCGACCGCCTTCTGAAGCTCTTCCATTCAGACTAGGTCTTCCTGTAAATCCAATTAAATTGTACACTAGAAAAATGGATAATTCTGCTATCCGTGGGTCTTCAGGTTCTCAACATGAACCCCGAGTCTGTTTTAGCGCTGCATTGTAGTCAAAAGCTAGGAAATGTCCATGACCTTTATAATGCATGTTTATAGTCGATTTTACGGCTCGTTCAAGTTTATGCTGGTGCAACTGAAGCGGAGAACGACAATCGACGAGATTTGAAAAAAGCTAGAATTTAAACTCCAGCACTCCGTGTTAAAACTACTGCGACTCACATGCGCTCTCATGAGAGTCGCAAGTACGGTTTTCATGTGACGCTGTCATATTCCAAAATAAAAAAATTACCTAACTTTTCGAGGTTTTAGTTTCATCAGATGCAAAACCCTCTAAGAACGTGACGTTTTACAAAGCTGTAGTTCAAGAGGGTTCTTCGATTTATAATATTGAGAACACGTTTGAATTTTCAAGCTTTTGCGTGGTGTGAGATCAAAATGGCGGCCCGAGAATGCTGTAGGTCAAAAGATGACTTACATTTTAGTTTTTTGCTAACCGAACAGTCGTTACATTAGACGAGGTATTGATTTCAACGTTTCAGAGCCCTAGAGTAATAACTTTTCATTTTATTTGCTAAACTCGATGACAGATGTTTCTGTTACTTCTCGGCCGCCATGTTGGTGTCCCCTCAAAGGACACCAATATCGCTTCCCATACAAAAAGCTCTGCACATTTGTGTGAAGCACTGCCGCGAATAACGCGCGAATGAAAAACCGCACAGGCCTAAATCATGATGAGTTTGTTTACATATCAATCCGTTTTATATCCCAGATTCTGGACTTAATTTATTATTTTCATAGTACGAAAGTGAAAACCGTCCGCAACTGAAGAATTTTATTTCAACAAGGTAATGAGTTCAGTAGACGGAGTTACCAGACCACGGGAGCAGCCCGCCTTTCTCCTTAGTTTCTTGAGTAAGAAGCCGAAAAGAATCCAGAGCAAAATTAAATCTTTTGTCCAAACTCTGCAATACCTGAACTCAGGTTAATTGCATTATGCGTTCTCTTTAGGGTCAAACTCTTTGGTAAAAGCATTAAAACGACTAGTAACAAGACAGAAGTCCGTTTACCATCTCAGGAGTGATCAGACGAGAAAGGAAAAGCAGCAGTTTTCCGCTCATTCAGATTTTTAAAAACATTCCATTTGCTAGTTTCGTGAAATATTTGCAGCCAGCCAATCTTTGGTTGCCACCATGTCTAGTGGCGCGTCCCAGCTTGTGATCGTCCCGCTGCAAATCTGATTATTTGCAGTGAGGATTAATCCGATTTGCTTAAAAAATTGGATTGACTTCACTTTACGCTGTTTGCAGACGTTACGCAGTTTGCCACAACTTCCGAGACAAAAAAAATTGCTCTCCCATTATTTCGTTCCGCTGATACAAATTTTGAGAAAAAAATAAAATGGAGCAGACTCGAGTTAAGGTGTGAATATAATACTGCAAACAAAGGCGTATTGGTAGAGAACCACATTACTCAACTTAGGCTATAGCTTCCTGAATCTGTCCCCAGCCTCACCGGAATACTTCAAGTGGCCCGCTGTTATTTCCGCCATTTTGAATCGTTAATCGAACTTGGTACGTTGATCTAAACTGTGCTGGCTTTGGTCTTGGAATTTCCGATGCTTTATTTGCAGAGATTATACATAACAAGAGATCCTGGTTCCTTGTAATGTATGCAACCCCCTTAGTGATTTACACCATTTATTACTTTTGTACGTTTCTTACGATCTTAAAGAAACATACAGGGAAAATCTCTTTCACTAGTGCGGGGCCTTCTCTGAACGAAAAAGGAAACATTTCGTAGCCAATGATTGAAATGCTGATGTAAATCAGTGGAGGGGCTTCAAGCCGATATCCCGTGGAAACGTCTGCCCCGCATAGCATCAGTTTCATGCTGCAAATAGTGTCAGTTTTTCAGTTATGCCCTTCAAACGGGACAAAATATTCCTTTAAAACCCAAAACGGCGACCTCAGCCATAAATCCTAACAAATCCTAACAACAGAACTGCTCTGTACTACATTTATTTATTATTCAGTCATGTTCCATATTAGATAAATTATACTTTAATCTCACTCTTCAATTCAATGCTGGCAGAATTTTATATGGACAGCCCTTTCAGCAAAGAAAATGATAAATATACTGTATGTAACTGACATTTTGCAGGTTCGATAAAGACTAAGTTCATGTATTCCTTCAGGATAAAACTCACGCGCACATCACGTGCAAGTCGCGTGAACATCTAGATCTAGTGACATCAATCCTCTGAAGAATGCGCACTACTGCTGCTCACCAACACTTTGACTGGAACCTGCCTGGCGCGGTTTATTCCGCGGTGCCTTAACTGGTATCTCCTGTTTTGAAACCAGTTTCTGATCTGCAGCTCTGTCATGTCTAAGGCGCCAGCCAGCAGCGCGCGCTCGTCGCGTGTCAAGTATTGTTGGCGGGAAAATACGTCATCCAAATACTTGAGTTGTATCTGTGTGAAATGACTTCGATTGCGCTTCTTTTTCGCTGTGCCTTTTGCAGGTCCAGTTGTGTCATTGACCCGTTTCGCTTCCTCCATCTTTTTATTTGCACTTGCAGCATTGTTGTCTATAAATGAGAAGGAAATCGAAGAAAAGAATTTTGCTACAGTCGAGGAAATAGGCAAGTTAAGATAGATGGACTTTGCTGTCACAAATGGGGAGAGAAATATTCTTTGCAAACTGCTTGGAATAAATATGGTACACACAAAGAAGACGCTAATTCATATTTAATTCGCTGACTTCAAAAGCGTTACGGCAGACAGTATTCAGCTGAGAATATGTTTTCTAACTTGTGATCAAGCCTATAAACGCTCTCTGTACCATTGCGTCACAGAATCACATATCTAGATTTACCCGACTCATAAAATGGAGCCATCCATAGGATCCAAACAAATAGAGTATAAATGTATTTACTTGTTCTGTTGTTCTTATTACCAGACTGACAATGTAAAAATATGGCATTCCTATCGAGACTGAATAAAGATGTAGATATCTGAACTGTTACTGAAGAAGCCAGCAGAAGATACAGCACTTATAATTGCATTTGATTTTTTCAGCGCCGGTGAAGGTGCGTTTGCAAACAGTTTAATGGCAGCATTTATTTCAAACCCCGACTGCTGAAAAAATTTTTTGTCCGCCTGATAGTGAAAGCTGCATACTTTACAATGGAACTCCGTCTTATTATATGACTAACTTCTTCCGGGGAAGGGGGGATAATAGTGACATATAAAAATTAAAGAACAGAGATGCTCGTCGTCCCTTTTATGGGTTAAAAAGACAGTTTTGGTACCTCTTAAGGGGCTCAGCATCAAAAGGTCCACAGCGAGAGCTTTTGCGGTATTGAGCCGAAATAATATTACTAGAGATATTTGACAGTCAGCTTTACGAATAGAAGTTATGCTAAGCAATCGTCTTTATCGATATTAAAAATTATGATTGTATCAGTTAATTGCGCTGTGTTAGAATTGGTATACCTCTTTGGGGTGAAAAACATTTCAAGCCGCACCCAGAAAAACCTTGGTACCTTGTAGGGTCGGGTTATTTTCGAAATTCCCGACTAGCAGGTCCGTCCTTTTTACATGAGAGTTCCCTCCCTCCCCCTACCTCCCCCTCCCTCTTCCCACCCTTGGACCAACCCGTCAATTCGACCACTTCCAGCCCGTTGTTACAGCTGCCATCCTTTTTTTTGGCTCGAACCAAAGCTTGGTCATTTAATTTGCTACTTGAAAACCTCCCCGTTAATACAACCAGTTCGTTGAGGACACCCACAGCCAACGTGTGGAGTCTTCAATGTTTATTGTATCAGTAGAGGTTTACTCCGTTGAACAAGAGGTAAATGACATAACGGCAAAAAGAAACTGAATTTGCAATGTTCAGTTGCACTAAACTGCGAACTGAAGATCAGTCGTAATAAAGAGGTGCTATAACTTTAACATAAAAATTATTCTTGTCAAGACATCATCAGTTTGAAAGGAATCAATAATGTCGTATCATGCAGTGGCACGTAAAACAACTCCCCAGTCGTTAATACTGTAGGCCTACCCAGGGCAAATCAAGATTATATGATTATACGGCTTCTCAGTGCTATATCGCTAACGGGCTACTTCTGTATATGTGAAATGAACATCCCGCAACCTGCGGAACAAACCGAAGGCTGTAAAATAAATTAAGAGCAAAATGAAAAAGAAACCTTATTCGCGGTTTTATGGACCAGTTGGCAAAAGCGAATATAAATGTAATATTTTGCTTTAATCTTAGTCCCAACTGACAAGACATACAAGGGTGTCAAATGGATTGAATCGTAGCGTAGTTAGTCGCGGTAAACGCCGTTTAACGCGAAATGTGTGAGTTAACGTAACTATGCATAAAGATAACTTTTCACCAAAGACGCATTGTTTTACACGAACATAAACAGAGGCGACAATCTTTAAGCTGGTTTAAGCCTAATTACGTTCTTAAACGCGTGAAATAAAACGTTGTCTCCAATGAACATTTTCAACACCTTCTGAGCAGGAAATTTCAAGTGTGATGTGTCATTAGAAAAACCACGTTCTTTAACTGAACTGCTCTTAAATTTTGAGTTTGCAAGAGAGTGAAAAAGTGAATGAACTAAAATAAAAACTCCACAAGCGGCCAGATATTGAAAATTGTACTCAACATACCTCTTTTTCGTGGCTGCTCTCCGATATGACCAGAGTTTTGATAGACATCTTTCTCCGGAGTTTGAGTGCTGTAACCACCTCTACCGAAAAATTCAGTCTCGCTGCACTGGTTCATGCGTCGATCGACCTGGCATCTTAAAGCGACATATGGGACTTTGCTGCTGCTTAAAGGAGCTCCTACGTACAGCACCCTAGGAGCTTTTGTAATTCGGGAAGGATGAGGGAAGTCCGAACGAAGAATATTGTCGACAGAAAACGGTAAAGTTTGAGCCATCGCGCCGGCTGCTTTCAGCACAGCTAATTCAGCAAAAGTGATAGGTTCGCAATGGGCTTTAATACATGTCACTCTCGAGGGGCGGGTTGGCACGTCTGCCAACGCTTGCACGTGAAAATGCCGCCTAAATTAAGGACTCATTGTTAAATGAGAACAATGATAGTGCCTTTCTTTTGAAGCGCTAAATAAAAAGAAATAGCAGCAACGTGTGAACTTATCGAAATTTTACAATTTGAAATTTGTGTCAAATATATGTTTCACCAGCAGGGGAAAATGTTTTACTTTGAAGAGAGAAATTTTCAATCGCTTTTCGTGACGGTCACGTTGTGTGAAATTCGCCATTAGAGTGTATTCAAATGAAAGTGAATTAAAAAAAAATACTCGTTATGATTACTTTCCAATAGTTTTTCCAAAATAGGACTCATTGCAATATCGGAAATGTTTTGACCTAAATAAAACATACCTTAAACGAATTTCAGCATTCCCTTGAAGTTTGTCTCAGTGCGGTTTTGATTGGGTTTTCTTTTTCCATTTGTCTTAAGTTTGTAGCTAAGAGGGGACTTTTTCATTTATCTTATTTGCTCTTTAGTCGATAAACATGACCAGAAACAGAAATTGACAACGGATATCCGCTGTGTAACGAAACAAGAGCACATGTATTCGTTTTCTCAATCGTCAAACACTTTCAGAGTCCTTTCTTGTCCAAGGCTAAGTTCATTAGTGACTGTCAAACAACCTGCTCAAATGGTGACTGGTGACAATGATTTTACAAGTTCACTCTGAACAATTAAAAGTTAGAACCTTCTTACAAGGCGTAATTAACAGCATCACAAGAAAAAAAATTGAGGGTCTTTTCTCGGTCTGGGTAAACATAACCCAACATTTGAAAAAAAAACAAAAAAAAAACATGGGAATCACCTTCTTAAGCTCAAAAACGTTGGGTACCACATGCGGCTACTGCTCAATTCAAGGGCTGTTAGTGTAGGCGATAAACACGATCAGTGTCTCACCTGCTTCAACTCCGAGATCAAATTTGTTCCCATATTTCCGGAAATGATGTAAACACCGAACATGTTATTCCACAGACCAGCTAAGCCCTTGTCAAAACTAACAGATATAATAGAGGTTACTCCATGGAATATGCGCGTGTACGATTTTATTCACGAGTTGAGTAGTACCAGAAAACGAACGAGTGAGGGCATAGTTTTGCGGTTAAATTTCGTCGTTGCTGCCAATTCGATTCAGAGCAACAATCAAGAACTTGTTGCCAGCGTTTTTGGTTTTCTATTTCAGTCCAGAACTGCTACAGTGTTCAGTCACACCCTAGCGCTTATTTCTGAGTCCAGATATCGATAGCGGTTACAGCCATAATTAGAAGCGCTGTGCAGAGGAAGCTGGGGGAATACCGCTGAACGCTGCGTTCTCAACGTGACTGAGTTTCGAACAGCTGCTTTCATTTTCATTTCGAAAACTAACTTACAATTTTAATGAACTTACGTTATGTTTCGTTCAAGGAAAACCTGAATGAGAAAAATGTATTATTTTTAACTGACGTGTTGTTTTCCGTTTTCCAAAACGTAAGAAAGCAAAAAGAACCCTTGCAATTTTCAGATTTAAATTGAAAGCTCAGTATAGAATGCTTTTAGTTTGACAAACGAAAACTGATAGGAGGCAAAATGTCATTTCTAAATCTTGATTTTCTAGAACATAAGAAACATTACCTTTGGGTGAAACTGAAACCTTCATAAATCAAGTTATCAGTAAAAAAAAAAATAGAAACATGAAGTTTAAGAAATCATATTCAAATTCTCCATGAAATGACGAAAGTGAAGAAGTTTAAGTTTAAACAAGTGACCATGATTTCTTGTTGACAGCTTTTTAACAAAGCTCAGGCACTTGTACTGAGAACAAAATTCATTTTGATTGACATAACCAAACATCTTTTTATATGCTCCAAAATTGATGATAAGGCAATGGCCAGACCTTGACTAACTACGGTCGGATTTCGAACGAAATTCTCATCGATTTTTAGCTTTGACAAAGTTTCTTTTTATTACTAATGGCAAATGCAAGGGACAGCAAACGAAAATGCCCTCTGTTGGTACACGTACGTAGAATCTGTAAAAGCTCTGATCAGCCAACTAGATCTAAACCCCGGGGGGGTTACTTTGGGAATTTCTGGGTGGGGATATGCCGCTGGGACCCTGGAACCCTTAACCTATACCAGAGCCAGTTCAGCTGAATTTTGTTACCCTATACTAGAGTAGACTTCCCAAATCCCCCCATCTATCGACACTGTTGAGGCTGATTTGCGTAAATTTAAACTTGCCGATTTGATTTTGTTATATTTTTGAGTGGCAATTCCTGGTTTCCTTAGTCTAGATACAATCTTCAACCAACTAGTCAGTTTTGTGAAAAATGATACCCTATTCTAGACCTAAAGGCTCTGATTTATATACCCTATCCTGGAGTAAACTGCTTGAAAACCGTACCCTTCACAGCGGCATATACCTATATAGCCCATATATGGCAGTGCCCCCCTCCCCCCGGATCTAAACAGGTCGAAACAGCTGTCCACGGTTGCAGTTCTTGGCTTTCAGTTTGGGCCGTCATGATGTCATTCTCGCGTTAAGTGTTCTACGTAGTTATCAGCCTTTCTTCATTGTTGTTCCTTTTAGCGAAACCGATTTAACTAATGACCTCAGTTTTGGCTTAAAATTTTGGTGACGTTGAGTTCTTACCTGCGTCACAAGCAGTTTACACTGCCGGTCATCAAGGAGTTTGCGACATACCCAGCTGCACGCCAGCCTAAAAACTCTCAAGTTTTCGTTCAAAACACAAAAATCGGACACCACAGATAAACAAAACTGAGATATTACAGAAATTTAGTTTCAATGCATGCCAATTAAGTGGAGTATTTAAATCCATATCACTGAATTTACTTTCGTCATAAAATCACTTTCAATTTTTTCGGCACATTCCTGGAACCGCTGGTCAAATCGTATCAAGGCTTCGCCAAGTGAAGTGGATCTAGCCTTTCGGCCATTTTTGCCTTGTATAACAGTTTATTAATAAGCCTGTGACTCATTAACAGAAAAACGCAACAGTTAGCACCGTCAGTCTCTTTATCTCAGTTTCGACGTCAACGTTTTAAATAAAAAATCTTTGGCTTACCACGAAATCGGTAAGAAAATGAGGAAATAAAATAACTTCTTTTCTAAACGTCTTGTCAAATCGCAAAAATTTCTTTCGATCAAATGTTTTCCGAAAGCCTCAGAATCAAAACTACTTTGGAGCACTCAGTTGACAATAAACTGATTAACCCCAAAATGACTCATTCCCACGGGATGTAGGTCAATTTTTTGCAGCTGTTAAAATTGCAACTAATTTGCATGATAAAACAGCCCAAAGAAATCAACTACTCGCGCTGATTGGTTTAAAATCGTGTTTCTATCGATAGAAACACAGAACGAGCTGTTGACGTAATGATGGCGCGAGCAAAGATAATTTACATTTTGATGATCAAAGTAAAGCTGTTTTCTTTTTTCCGTCGCGGAATTTCTAAAAAGAAATAGAAAACATGTTCTCCGTGTCTTTGTCGAGTTTAGACACACTCGTGAAAGTTTGAGAGAATTCGAAAAAGCTGTGGAAACACTCGCCTGCGGCTCGTGTTCCCACAGCATTTCTCGTTCTCCCAAACTTCCACTCGCTTTCTTTAACTCAATTGAAACACGATACATTTGAAAAGTACAATTTTTAGGGGTGGACCATTTAACTTTTGAGAGTACAGGTATAAGCATAAATTTCTTTTTACATCCTTTCATGCAATAGGAATTTTGTTTTTGTCAGGACGTGTTAATGGATGGCATTTTATTCTCCGTGTAACATTCATTTTTTTCTCGCTTACTAAATGTACGTGAATTTTTTTTTTCAGCAATGGCCAAGTGAATGATTAAAAAAACAAACAAACAAACAAACAAACAAACACCCCCCTTCCCTCAAAAGTTCAATAGTGCACCGCTTATGTAACAGAACTAGCCGAAGTTGTTGCGTAATGATGGCGCGCGCAAAGATAATTTACATTTTGATGAGCAAAGTAGACAAGTTGTTTTCTCTTTTAAGTGGAAGGATTTATTCGGCGCTGTTAATTCATTTATTTGTCGTTAAGGCTGAAGATCATAAGGTTTCTCTTCCACCTCATAGACACATGTCCAGAAACACTTGTGTAACTCTTGCCATAGAATTTGCTAAAAGAGGTAAAATGATATATATACAAAGAGAAATACAATTATAAAACCGAACGTTTTCAACTTAATTATTGTCATAATAACTGTTTGCTGATTGGCCCAAAGCAAGTGCTGATTTTGAGTTCCCACTTCATTCGTTGTTGAGCTTATGGAATAATGGACGATTCAGTAAAGCATTGACAAACTTAAGAAAAAAATGGTTGGCTTCCTTCCCAGCCGACACAGCAGGGTGTTAAATTGAATAACGTCAGTACCGCAAAGAAAAATAGATAAAAGAACACTCTGACGTCCCTAGCTGGTAAATGGCTAGGAAGCGTTTTCAGCACAAAACTGAAAGTGCTGGTTAAAAAGAATTAGTAACCAAGACAAGCACATCATATGAAGGTTCAGTTTTACGGAAGCAGGCAGGACAGAAAAAGATTCACAGATTCTAGTGAGAAAACGCAAAAGAGGAAAGCAATGAACAGAAGCCTTCCAAGCCAAGGGATGTTGCCGCTTGGAGTCTACTATTTACTGGGAGGCGAACTGCCATCTTGTGCCACTGAAGTCAAAGCCTTTCTTATTTTTTTTTCAGTGATCAGCATCGTCACATTTCCTTTCACTGCTACCTTAAACGCGTTGGTTATAACGGCCGTGAAAACAAAATCCCGAATGAGAGCGATCAAGACTAACATACTACTCGCGTGTTTGGCCACGACCGACCTGATGGTGGGTGTGATTGTTCAACCTCTGTTCATAACATTAATGATAACTATCGTTCGAGGAAATTTCACGACTATGTCGTGTGCTTTACAAAATTTCACACAATTTGTCAGGAGTGTCCTTTGTGAGATTTCTCTTATCCACCTTGGTATGATAAGTGGGGAAAGATAACTCGCCATGAAGCGCCCCTATGCATACACTGCCTTGGTTATTTTCCCTTATATATTCTGCACATTCCTCTTAGTATTGACAGGGATGTATTTTTAATCATCAATAACACATTTATAGTCCTATCTTTCGCTATTATCGTTTTCT